GTGTGCGTGTGTGTGTGTGTGCCCTTAACAGGACAGCACACACGGTTCCAGAGGCAGAAGAAAAGGAAACCCAGTCCTGTTCCACACGGGGGGCTTCCTCATCTGGACCACATACACGGATGGAGAATCACAGAGCCGTAAGTGTCATACTTGATACATGTTCCCCCGCTTGTGGAACGGGCATCTTTCCTTCTCCTGTGGCCCTCGGTCTGCGGTTCTTCTGCATCCTCTGTGATTCTCCATGTGTGTGTGGGGTGGGCTTCCTCATCTGGACCACACATACGGATGGAGAATCACAGAGCCGTAAGTGTCATACTTGATACATGTTCTCCCCCTTGTGGGAACGGGCATCCTTCCTTCTCCTGTGGCCCTCGGTCTGCGGTTCTTCTGCATCCTCTGTGATTCTCCATGTGTGTGTGTGGGGTCCAGATGGAAGGAGAACCCCCTGTGGAACAGGACTGGGTTTCCTTTTCTTCTGCCTCTGGAACCGTGTGTGTTGTCCTGTTAAGGGCACACACACACACACACGCACACTTATGGACCACTTTTACTCCGCCTTGCTTGTGTGGAACAGGTGCGGCTCTCTTTTCGTATGTGCTGTCCTGCTAAGGAAGTCCTTTTTGTCCTTGTCCCCGTGTGGGGCTGCTGCCTTGCGTGTCCTCTTGTCTACTTCGTTTCCCCCGCCCATCGCCACAACGCAACCATACATACACACAAAAAGACATATACTGTCTCAGGTGCTGCTCCTATGCAGTGATGCCTTATACATTGAAGTTCGGCACAAGTCGAGGTGTTTTGTGGGCACTTGGCGAGAACTGATGAATGTGGGGTGACCCTCCCTGACAAGAAACTCTGCTTTGAGAGCCGGGGGCCCTCGCGCATGGCGATTTTAGGGGGTCAGAGTCCTATCACCGACGCCTGACCAACTGCTTCGGAGTTCTTGTGGGAGCTTACGCGGGAGTTGGGGCGGCAATGACTGTCCTGGCAGGGGCTGTGAAGGGAAGTGGAATGAAAGTGAATAGTGATGGAAGTTTTGGGTGCACGTGTAACAAGCATGTGTCTCTGCTCGGAGCCAATGTGCTAGGGGCTTTCTCGAGTTGGTTCTCAGTCGGACTGAAGCTTCGCTTGCTTTGTCGAGAGTGAGTGCTAAAAATACTGTTTTATGTATGTATGCATATATATATATATGTTTATGTTTATACATATTTATGTGTATATATGTACATGTATATGTAATATGTATGTATGTAAATGGCTACGGCTCAAGAATACGGCTCAACCCTTGAGCTTCGTGTTGCAGTGCCCTTCCGCCGGTCGTGCCTAGTCAGCCGTGCGCGCTGGTGAAGTCCCGACATGGACCACAAAGATCGTGAACACCTTCGTGGAGTTTGACGTGGGACGGGCTTCTTGAGGAAGCTCGGGAACAGCATAGGCACCTGCCGGTCTCTAGCTGGGAAGACTTTTGTGAGAAGCTTAGGCGAGTCTTTCGGCAGGCGCACTACCAAGCCTAGAGTAGTCAATCCCAGGTCCCTAGCCTCAAGAACCTTCGCCTCAAAGGCGCCGTTGCCGAAACCTCCTCGACGATTAGGCACCACAGATCCTCAGTTTCTGAAGACCCCAGCGTTCGAAGTGCCAGGCTTTGGCGAAGACAGCACGAATACTTCCATTTTCATTATGGTCGTAGCAACACGGCGGCTCAACAGGCTAACCAGCGTACTCGCAATCTCCGCAAACACCTGAAGCGTGAGGCTGGAGCTCTTGGTTTTCCTAGCAACCCGCTTGAGCCGGACAACCGTGCCCAACTTCAGACTTGGATTCAGCAGCAACTCAGTTCTGAAGTGGAAGAGCATAAGCGAAACCGAACCTAGCAGTGGCGAAAACGATTGCGTAGCTGTGACGAACAGGTGTTCACGTGGCTGAAACGTGATGCTGTAACTGCTCCTTTTACTGGCATTTATAAGGACGGCAAGCCTTTAGTGGGCAAGGCACTGCATCGCGAGGCTGAGAGTTTCTGGAAAGGCATCTGGCCTGCACAGACGCCGGAAGCCGTCGACGCCTTTCCATGCCGCAAGCAAAGCTGCGCATAATCGTTTAGGAACCTTCATACTGCATACAGCGTGTTCAGCAGCGAGTGCATCAAAGGCTTTTGGTTAAGTCAGCTGAGCCCAGGCATTTGGGCCCTGGCCTTCGCTGTCCCGGGCACGGTTGGGCTTTTTCGAGGTTGGCAAGGGGGAGGATAAGGGCGCTATGAACTCCCTTCTTGCGGATGCCTCCGTGAAGTTCGCGTGGCAGGTTTTGTGCAATCCACGAACCCAGCTGTTTCATTCTGATGTGACTCCATGCTCCATAGAAAGGGGAGCCCACAGAAATGGGCCTGAGCGAGTCTAAGGCCCCAGCTGGGCGCCCCGGCTTAGGGAACGCTACTTGACGCCACTGCGCTGCTTCTTCAGCAGCCTCGAGAAGTCTTGCCGCCTCTGCAAGCGCAGCAGCAGGGAGGTGCTGCAGCTCACTGGGGGCCCAAGCCTCTGGGCCCGCAGCTGTTTTCTTCATCTTTTTGAAAGCGCATCTCAGGTCGCTTCCGGTTAGGCCAGGGAAACTGGGCTCTTCCTGAGCTGGCCAACCGACAGGCCGGCCTGCAAGCTCCTCAGCTTGCTTCAGTTGGGAAGGCATGCAGGTGAGCAGTTTCTTTCTGACGTCTCATGCTTACCTCAGGGCGACCCTGCTTCGGCTCTTGGCTTAAATGCCTGCATCAGTGAAGCACTTTTCAGCATGAAGCGCGCTAGTCAGGATGCGAAGTCTGCCTTCCACTCGTGCTTTCTTGACGACAGGACTTGGTTCACTGAAAAGGCTTCTTCTTGCGTCGGGATAGGTGCAGCTGGGAAGCAAGACATGCGCCCACTCGGCCTCAAGGAAAACCGAACCAAGCAGGACTTTGCTGCTTTAGGCAACAAACAAGGCCGCGACTCCCTTGCTGGTGAGCTCGAGGTTCAAGCTGTTCAAGGCACCGTTTGTGCTAGGCCCAAGGTCCTAGGCACGAGGCTGCTTCTTCAGCACAAAAGCGAGAAGGCTGATAAAGAAGGAGTCTCCAGATTCCAAGAAGCTGTTCAGCTGACTAAATGGATCAAGTGCCTGCCCGGCTCTTTGCCTCAGAAACTTTACTTTTACAAGGCCAAGGCATTAGCAGTGGCTGCTGCCCCTGCCTTTGCCCGTCTCCCCAACCTTCAAGAACTCAACCAACTGCGAAACTGCTGTGCGGATCTTGATGGAAACGGAAAAGCCTCCATAGGCCCGCGAGGACCTTTGCATCGCTTATTGCTAGGCCATGCTGCTGACCCGCACTTCAGAGTGGGAGGTGCAGTTACCACTCAGGTGCTCATGGCTAAGGTCTCGGGTGAACTCTCAGACGACCACTGGTGCTTGCACCAGACTACAGGACCTGTCCGTCTCGCCCGCAGATGGATGCAACGTCAAGGGTGGGTCGAAACGGGCCTGCCTTGGCTCTGGGCTCACACTGAGGCTTCAGTTGTGCTTCAGCTTAGTTCTGCGCCAGTCCCTCAACAGTTCAGACAGGCGCACCTTAGGCTCCTTACGCCTACCGTGAAGGGACAGCTTGAGCATGTGTTAAGGGAGGCTTGGCGGGCCAATTGCTGGCTTGTTCATAGCCTCAGACAACAAAGCTGCTCAGCTTCTCACAGGTCTGTCCTGGCCTCAGGTGGCTGGGCAAGCCAAGAGCTTGCGCACGATCCTCAGCAAAAATACCGACTCTTTTCGGCACATCATAGCCATTGCTTCGGGACATTACGTCTCAACTACTCGCTTCTATATAGCACGCAGGGCCAGTACCGGCATGCGGATGTGGCAACGTGTGTTTTCCTGTGCCCTGACAGGGCACATGAATGGGTCTGTGCACATCGCTGCGGCGTTGCAGCACCGATGCAACCTAAGGGCAGCCTTCAGGCGGTCCTGGCCTGGCCTGCGCCGGCACAGCTAAGGTCATGCGCTGACAGCGAGCGGTTCATGGCACAAGTGGTGAATGTTCGTCGTTGCGTCCTGAACGCCCGCTACACCCAGACCGACGGCGAGGAGTAGCCGTCGTCGCTGAGGTTTGGTTCTGCAGCAAGTGCGTGCAACACTACTGCAGCGGATCAACAAGCTCCTCCTCGTGGAGTTTGACGACGGGGATGGACAGGAGGGTTCCTCTCGACGAGCAAGTTCGGCACCACCAAGACTCCGCTGAGTTGAGTCAAATGATGCCCCGGTGGATCAGGCCCCGAAGGAGGTGCCACTGGAGGTGGAATCAGTGGAGGAGGATCCGACGGAGGTGCCAATGGAGCTGCAATCGCAGCTGAATCCCGACGCCCCAGAGTTCGACTTTACAGGAGTCAGTGGCGAGACCCAGTTCGGGTCAGAGTCCTACGTGTACTTGCCGCTTCCGGAGTACACCGTGCAGGAGTGGTGGGACTATCTCTACTACCTGCAGGCAAACCGGGTTCTGCTGACACCCGAGTATGCTGCCTACATCTGTGAGCTGACCCGTCTGCTGGGCATGCCGATGATGGAGTATTTGGATCCGCAAACCATGCAGGTCCACCCAACTGGGAGGCCGGGATCTTACCTGGTGAAGTGGTTCTTGGATTCCCCCAAGCTAAAGAGCAATGACAAGCTCATTTCGCCTGGCTTTATGTTGTACCACTCGTGCACCGGCCAGTTCCTTCGCTTGCTCATCAGTGCCTTCACCCAGGACTGGAGTGCAGCAAATCCCGAGGCGAATTTCAAGAAGGCTGAGGGAAGAGGCTTCTTCCAGCTGAAATGCGACATCCAGCCCAAAGACCAGGGCTGTTTGCCATGCCGGTTTGGGTTCTCAGTTTCAAACGAAGAGAGGCGCGTTGCAAGTTCCCATTTTACCGAGAGCAAGTGCGTCGTCGAGCTACCTGATGCTGATGACGCAATTTTTCACGTGTTCGGAGCCACCGGTCGAGACCAATTGGTGGAAGTAACAGCGTTTATCCAGCTGTGATTTCGTTGTACCTTGCTGTCCCTTGATGTCCCGTTCCGCCAGCCAGACTCAGCTTGCGCGCGTACACCGCAGAAGCATATCCGATGCAAGCAATCAGCATCTTCCGGGACAGCATCGTGTGTCTCGCTGTGATGTTGCTATCCCTTGCTGTACCTTGCCGCCACCTATAGACTCAGCCATAAGACATGCTCTTACACGCCGGAAGCATACACGATGGCAGCAAACAGCATGTACTGGGACAGCAGGCTTTACGTTTCGAGCTGTGATTTAGTTGTCCCAGCTCTGATTTAGTTGTCCCTTGCTGTCCCTTGCTGCTAGCTAAGCTCAGCTGACGGATGTTCTGACACGAGTGAAAGATACCCCATGGAAGCAATCAGCATCTTCCGGGACAGCATCGTTTGTCCCGCTATGATGTTGCTATCCCTTGCTGTCCCATGCCGCCACCTAGACTCAGCCGTAAGACATGCTCTTACACCACGGAAGCATACACGATGGCAGCAAACAGCGTGTGCTGGGACAGCAGGCTTTGCGTTTCGAGCTGTGATTTAGTTGTCCTAGCTCTGATTTAGTTGTCCCTTGCTGCCCCTTGCGGCTAGCTAGACTCAGCTAACGGATGTTCTGACACGAGGGAAAGATACTCCATGGAAGCAATCAGCATCTTCCGGGACAGCAGGCTCCGTGTAAATGGTTCTGACGTTGTGCCGTGCGAGATACAGCTCAGCAGAGTCTTCAGCAATTACAAGAAATGTCGCACAGCACCACACTGCTGGCACCCGCCCAGCATTCACGCTTCACAAGAAGCTCCCGTTAGCCTGTGTGCTTCATGCATGTCTATTCAAAAGCCTCACTTGCGTAAGTTTCAGACAGAAATAAAGGCAGATGTTGCAAAGTCTGTCCTACGCTGGGCATGAAGCGCACCCTATTGAAGGTTTCAAGCACAGATACAGTGACATAGATTCATTTTCGTGAAACTGAGCGCGGCAAGGCCGACGACAACGCTGTCGATGGGCATGCGATGGCTTGCGTAGTTGAAACAAACCCAGCCCTCGCCTGCTGAGTCGAGTGCGAGTGCTCAAAATGTATTTTTTATATATGTGCGTGTGGCTATTTGTATATGTGTACACACACACACACACATATATATATATATATACATGCGTACATATGCACACACAAATGGTACATACACCCAACCGTACATACATGCATACAGTAACACATTCATGCATACATGCATGCATGCATGCATGCATGCATACATGCCTATATGCTTTCCCACATGCGTATAGACATACATACATACATACATACATACATGCATACATACATACATACACACGGAAAGTTGGAAAGCGCACGCAGTGAATGTCGCCTGGCTCAGATGACTAAGGTCTGTTCAGCCTGCAGGCTGCCGCCATGGCCAGGCACGGCCCTGAATCCCGTCAAGAAGGGTTTGAGTCTACGGCCAAGCATACCCTGCAAGAGGCCTTAAAAGGCCCTACAGTCCCTACAGTTCCGGTTACGATGGCAGCTTTGCAAGTTTTCCGTGTTACACCGCGGGTTCAAGCCTTTAGAACCCGAGCTTAGTTGTAGCAACAGGGCAACATGCACGGGGAGAAACCTCAGCTTACTCGAACGGATCTAACGGCTGCTAACTTGGATTGGATCGGCACTCTAAGACAGGAGCCTGCGATAGCCTGCCGCATGTTTCAATACATGTCGATGCGCAAGTGTGATGTACTGCGCCAATCTTCGCAGTCGCAACAGGCCGGGGATTGTTCACCCGGGAACTGAGACAAGAGGCTTTCTTCATTCTTCAGAAACAGCGTGCCTTGTGCCAGGAAGGACACCAAGGAGAGGCACCAGGAACTACTCCTGGAGCGACTTTCTCTTGGGCAGAGGGCTCTGCGGAAAATCCGATGGCAGATCAGTGGATCTATGGTAATCATTGGCCTTGTCATGGCCGTCTCGGTTATGACTTGGTGCCTGCAACGCATGAAGCTTGAGTCCTCAGCAGAGCTTGCTGGACACTGTCGAACATGCTCGAAAGACATGGACAGCATCCCGGCATGTACAACGAGCAACCGAGGCTCTTCATTGATGTGCGACTGGAAAGCTCGCATCATCGGATCCCTTTGACAGTCGGCTGGGCAGTTTGTGCCATCGGGATGGAGTCTCGACAGATGGTCCTGTACGATGTTACTTGTGAGTCGTGAAGATGTTTGCTGGACAAGGGGCCTGTCCCGACAGTTCTTCAGCAAATGACAGTTGGTTTTTTTCCAAGAGCAGGAGCAGAAATGAGCATTGAAATTTGGCTTATACTTTCCCCTTCACATCCCATTGCGAATGCCTCTGCGAAGCGTTCAGTCCAGTGGTCGCGCTTAGCCTGGCCATTCTTACTATCGAGTTTTGCCAGGGCCTGCAAGCCTCAGCAAACGTCAATATAGCAGCAATTCCATGCACAATAGCTATAATAATGATAGTCACAGCACTAACCAAAGATTGGGTGAACAAATTAGTTGGGTGGTACCTCTACAGGCAGGAAACATATCTATTTGTGATTGTTTATGTGTACGCATGAAATTGAGCACATGCACGCATGTCATATACATACATATATATATATATATATATGTGTATATAATATATATATATATGTGTGTGTGTGTACATCTATATATATATATACATACACACACACACCTATGTCTACATGTGTGGCGTGGAGCAACAGCAACTTGCAACAGTCGAAGCAGCCGAATAAGAACGCTGAGAGATGAGAAAGCGCCGCCATGAAGATGCCGACCGGGAACCGTGGGGACCACCACCGCAACGAGATAATGCTGCGACAGGGAGTTGTAACAGGTAGATACATGCCCTTTGTCGTATCGAAAGAACGCTGGAGCAGCAATCCGATCTCGCTCAGGCATGCTTTGCCTCGGCTCCTCTGCCAGATGACCCGATTTTAACACGGCTGTCTATCTCGGGCGTGACGCTTTTGTGCTTCGTTTTCGCTATCTTCGAGACTTGGCAGTAGCAACCCGATCGTGTAACATTACTTTCCCAAAAGATCTCTTGAGCGGAGCCAGTCAAGAATTGGGTGGCAATCTGTACATGGGCCCTAACGTTGCAAAAATGCATCGTTTCATTCTCAGGAATTTTTCATCCTGCTCAACCAAGAGCGCGCCAATTGCATATGCTGAGCCATGTCTTCAGTTCCTTAGGGAGTCATGGGCGGCGGCTTTGCAAGAAACCATTGATCGCCTATTTTGAAGACCAGTCCCACGCGATGCCAAGGGGACTGTGATGCGACCAGCCGGACGACATGTATTTGGTTCTTTTGCGAGTGCGTGGGAGGCTAAGCTGGCATCCTTCTGAAAGCGAGAATGCCGGATAATGCCTGCACTGTACCAAGGGTTGGAATGTGCTTTGGAACTTTGTCTCATTCCTGGGCTTCCTGACTACGGCTTCACAGCCAAACGCGGACAAAATGCAGGTCAGCAACTTGTCCTACGAAAGCATTCCTCGGGTGCTTGACGTCTGTCGCAAGTTCATCATCATACGGATCCTCCGTGCCTCTGCACCTTCATGACTTGACTTCATAAGGGCATCTGCAGTGTATGGCAGGGTATTCAAGTGCCGTGACTGTCAGCGCAGTCTTGCGTAGCGGATCTGTCTCACCGCGTTCTACAGTGCCCGGCTATTCCCTGCACTTTAGCCTCCGGTTTATCGCATGTACTAGGCTTGCACGAACCTATGGTCCTAAGTGCGCAGCGTACGACTGGAACCAGATGGAACCAGGTCTCAGGCCTTGTGGAATGCTTTGAAGCCTCTGTCTAAGAGACACTACGTCAACGCCGTCTATCGAAGCCCGTTGACCTAAAAGGTTCGGCTTCAAGTTTCATCCTCGTCTCGCACTTGCCCATGAGTTCATGGTCATAAGATTTCATCAGCTGTGCAGGTTATAACGAGCAAGTTCCAAACTGTACCGTTCGACGTACTGTAGTGCAGCAGCCTCCAGATCCCGGCGACAAGCCCAGGCTTCTGGCGAATGTGGAGCATATTCTTTCGAGTCAATTTTGCCGTAGCTCCTCTGCACACCGTCTGGCTGTTCCCGGGCAGAAGCACAGACCAGTCTTTGAATGCAATCAGGCCGACGTTCTGTTCCTCATCCTCAACCGCTTCTTCATACACGTGAGGTCGACGGCCATCATCTTCATTGTCGGGGATTCCTTCGGTCTGCCGCTTGGTTGAGATCGATGGGGAACTGGGCCCAAGTTCTGGCGACATTCCCGGACACTATAGTCGAACAAGCAATCAATATCTGCGCAACACAGCCGCCAGTGAGTGTGGGGCTGAGGCTGTTCAGCTTCTTTCCAGAGCTTCGCCATCGGCTGCATGCTGCACTCCACCGCTACTTCAAGGATACGGAGCGGACGGCTGCGGCCGTTGGTGTGGTCTTGGCCCGAGCTCGACAAGCAAAACGGGGAGTCACTGCTCCATACCGCTCATCATTTGACCGAGGCGAGCTTGATTGGAGCTTGCGATGTCAGCGTGGCGCTGAAGAAAGCAGAGTCCCAATTCCGCATAATTGACTGCGACATGCTCCAGAAGGATGATCTCAGTTCTTGCCTCAGGACTGACTTACTTTGTTCGAGGCCTTTCATGACGGATGGTTTTCGCAGCATTTCTGCAAGTGCATTTTTGTTGAGCGAGGCGACAATCAGCCTTCTCCTCACCTTTTCGATCTTTCGCGACCCGCTTTACTGGGCAGCTGTGATGCCTTCGTGTCCCACTCTTGGCGCGACAATGCAGACGCCAAGTGGGATGCCTTGCAGTCCTGGAAGCAAGCCTTCAGTTCTCGCTTTGGACGTTCTCCAAGTGTCTGGCTGGACAAAGCATGACACTTGGAAGCAGTTTGGGCCATGTCCACCTTGGGCGTGTTCCAGTGCGCTGTCCCGGCGAGGCATCAACCAGCAGGACATCGAAGCCAACTTGCGCAGCTTGCCAATCTTCCTTTCAGGATGCGAAACTCTTTTGATACTCTGCGGGACCACCTATCTCAGCAGCTGCTTGCTCAAACACAGTGTTAGTGGACCTGTGGACTCATGCGAATGCTGCACTTGGCTCGGAAATTGGACTTTTCAGACTGCCCTTGTCGACCAAAGAGCTGAGGACTGTGGTGCATACTTGAGCTTTTCACCTTCGTACACATGGGTGGAAAGCCGTGCGACATCGATTGTGTCGTGCTCGTTGGACCAAATCAATCCGACATCACAGCCATCGGCAACCAATGCAACTTTGGCAGTAATACAGAGTTTTGTTCGTGCACTTAGTGTGTCGCGAGGTATTGAACAGCTACCGCCATCTTAGCATGAACGTGTCGCGAAGCACTGGGTTCCCAAAGCTTCTGTTATGTCTTGTGCACTGCGGAGGCAAAAGCTTCGATGCAAGCGGGTGTGATTGTTCAGTACCAGCTGACAAGGATCTTGCCGCCAGAGATCCTGAGTTTGTGACAGGAATTGCTTTAAGCGCCCCCACGCCTATCCTGTCATCTTGAGGCGAAAGGTTAATTCGAGCTCAAAATTGGGATGTTCCAAAACTACAATTTCTCATTGTGTGGCTGAAAGATTGAAGACTCACTGTTGGAATCCTGCATGCCCCGTGCCGATCACATCTGCTGTCTCGTCTGTACAGGAGACAATTCTCAACATCATCCACACAGCCTTTGGGACCATTGACTTGTTCAATGACTCGGTCAGGAAGATTATGCGGCGAATCGGAGGATTGTCCACGGACAGGCATCTCGTTTAATTACATGTCTTGTGTGGTGAGGGGTTGTCAGTGAAGGATCCTGATGGATATTTCGGGGGATGTGCGGAGACGTGGGGAGACCGGAGACTATGAGCACCGGCTAACTTTTTACCTTGGCGACCACATGCACTAGACCCTAGCCGCATTGCCGATGCTCACTCCCTCGCTGCACCAGGGTAGGCTAGGTCTGACAGGCTTCGCGAAAGGCTTCAAGCTGTTGTGTCTCTGGGAGGGTTTTGTGGCGGCAGCACACGGAGCAGCAGAACTTTGCAGGCGCAGGTTTGACTTGCATCGCCCACCGAAGGGGAGCACTCACACACGCAGGCATGTGGCATACTCATGGTTGACAGAGAGGCAGGACAGGCAGGCGACGCAATTTTCCAAGGTTCACGATGCTGAGTCCCGGTGACTTGGATGTCACTTAGTTACTGCCTCACCATGTAGGGTTTCCGCTGTTTCGGACTAGCCCGAAGCATCGTCCGGCTAAAGTCCAGTTCCAGCTAGGTCCCAGCTAGGTCCAGCTAGGTCTTCTGTAGAGAAGTTAGTTAAACTAGGGCGGCTCCCGTTGGCAACTCTGCTGTGTCGCCCGAGATTCTCATCCCGTGTGGCGCTTTTGGACCAGTGAGGCGCGGCGAGCGATGCCAGCAGCAACAGCTCCGATTCGGGATATGCTTCAGTCAGCAGCCAAAGCAGCAGCTGAGTTTGACTTTCTTAGGATGCCGCGGGCCTTGTGAGACTCGGCGCATCTCTCTGGCCATGCGAAAGCAAGGGCCGGAAAGATGCGTTTCGAAAATGACTTGGCATTACACGGGATAGCCTATCACAGGTCCCGCTCTCTCTCTCTCTCTCTCTCTCTCGCTCTCTATCTCTCTCGTGCTCTTTCTCTCTCTCTCTCTCTCTCTCTCTCTGACTCACTCACTAACTCACACACACACACACTCTCTCTCTCTCTCTCTCTTGTGCTCTCTCCTTCTCTACATAAGGGCATGGATACACGTGTTCTTGGATAGTGAGACGGCAAGATTGATAGACAAACGGACACGCATCTCGAACCCATAGCAGTAGCAACCGGGTCAAACCGGAATGGTGTTCCGGGCGAGGGTGTTCGAGCTCGAGGGTTCGAGATTTTGCAAGATCGAAGGATTGAAGATTGATGGTTTCAGACTTCGAGTCTTGCAGGATTCTAAAGGTGGCGATTTCTAAAGGTGGCGAGAGATTTGGGCGCGTTGGTATGCACGAGGGAGCTGGCTTCACACTTGTTACTTCAAACTCGAAAGTGACCCTTTACGAGCTCAAGCTCCAAACTTCAGATGCGGCCCACTTTGATTAGCGATCGAAGTTTGAAAGTTCGCAGTTCTTTGCGAATTCGGCTGTCTTAAAAAGTCCGAAAGCTCGGAGTTCGAAAGGTTCGCTTCAAGTTCGGCTCGCCGCGATCTTCGAAAGTTTCGATACGAGAGGTTGGGAGTTGGAAAGTCGAGTTTGGACAGCAGGAAAGTTTAAGGGTTCGAAGGTTTGGAAGATTGAAAGCTTGAAGCTTCAAAAAGGGTTCAGTTCGACAGTTTGCAGTCCGCCCAGTTCCGAGTTTTAGACCTGGGAGTTCGAAAGCTTGACAGCTCGAAGTTATAAAAGTTAAAGTTCGAAAGGCCCGGCGCTATGCGGGTGCATGCGTTTTACTTATGCTCGGCTTGCAGACGGCCGGTGCTCAAAAGACGGTTCGTGGCAGCAGAAGCATTCTGATCCGCCCTCTTCTTGGGCGATGGCTGTTAATGAAATGTCTTGCGCCCGACCCCTCGTCAAACGATGGCGGTGGCAGGTCCCTTTCCTTAACACCCCCCCCAACTAAACGACGACGGTCGATGACATTTCTTAGACCCAGCCCACCAATAGGCGATGACGGACAGCATTTCCGAGCCCGCCCCATCATCACGCGATTGCGGCTTAGGCTTATCACATGTGACAAGCCTGCCCCCTCATCACCGTCAAATTCACGCCCTAACTTGATAACCTTTACCGCCCCCTCGTCAGTCGATGGCGGTTCGCCACGTGTCTTTACCAGACACCTCCCCGGGTTTTGCCCAGTGGTGAATTCTTGAGCCCGTCTCCCTTATGAGGCGATGGCGGATGTCGGTTAGTCTGGCACTAAGAAAATCTGAATTGCAATCCCATACTCAAGACATAGGCTGCGAACGCCAGGTGATACACGTAGACGCAAAGCATAAAACATCATAAAACCACCTCTCAAATGGCACGCTTTCAAGCTCAAACTTTTCATTTTCCGTTCCAACAATCTCAAACATGTCGTGTTCCAAGGGTCCTAACTCTGAAGAATTGAAGCGTTGATCCCTCCAGGTCTGTGTCTTACAAACTCTCAAAGAAAGAAAAGTCGATCTTTCTTGAGCCCCTCAAACTTTTCAACCTCGGACTCCTCAAACTTCAAACTCCAACCTCTCAAACTCGAGCTTGCAAGGCACCATCTGGGCCTGCCCATGTCCATTCTCCAAACTTAAGTTTTCAAGCTCCCCAATCTCGCCCTCCGTTTGATACGTTCAAGCGTCAACTCAAATTGTCGTTAAGCTGAGATCTTCTTTCACTGCCGGGGACTCTGTGCTGTGACCTGCATTGAGTTCGGTTTGTGCTACCGTGCCAGGTATCTTGAAGCAGGGATGACGGACTAGCGACTAGCATTCGCCCCTTACATGTCAGCATCTGTCTGATCGTAAGAATGTGGATTGCTCGAAGCATCTGTGGAGCATTAGCCGCTGATGTAGACCTTGTCAGGGCAAGATGTTGAATCAGAATTGTGACACCGATGACAGCCGTTTGGTGGCCCATACAAGTGCGGAAGCTTAGCAAGAATCCTGGCCACAAATGTCGCTCGTTGATTTGCTGAAAAAGCAAGCTTTGCAGGACATGCCTTGTGCAACACGAATCCACATCCAATGCCGCAGTATTATTGCAAAGCCTTGTGTGTGTGTGTGTGCATCAGCATGCACTGCCGAAGAGGATGACGAGATGCTGTCCCTCAACGCCCTGCTGATGCAAGCAGTTGGCGAAGGCGTCGTCGATGGTGAAATGTGGCAAAGAGTAGTACTTGTAGCGATCGTCTCCGGCATGTGCAGAACTGGAGCTCAAGTGAAAGTCAGCGAACGTTCTCTCCCGCCGGTAGGAAACTATGGCCTCTACGAACTTGCTTGCGATAAAAAGCTGTCCTGCTTCGAGCCCGAAGCGAAGGGCCATCTCGTGTCGCTTGTCCGCCTTTGAGGTTGCACTTCTGATGCGAGGTATTAGAACGATTCGGAATTGCTTAGAAACAGGCAGAAGCCTCAAATCAGCAAGGACTGGCCTCAATTTCCACAAATACTATTTCGACCTGAAGGAGCAGATGACGAAGGAGTGCGGGGTCTTCTAACCGTCGTGCAGTCGCCATCGCCGTTTGAAGCCAGTATCTCGTTTCTATGACATGGAAGCATCGCGTACTCCGTGAGTTGACTGCTCCGTGAGGGTAAAAAAAGAAAAGCCTCGGACTCTGTCGACGAGGCATCGCCTGAAGATGTGCGAGCTTGTTCTCGGTCGGTTGCGAGCTGCAAGGGCTTTGAGAAAGCCAGAGTTTTGCCACTTGCAGATCAAGCAAGTTCTGGGTTCGTAGAAGAAAGGGTCGCCGACGAGCCACAGGAGGATACAGCCAGCAAGCTGACAACCCAGTCGACCATGTCTTCGCCAAGTATTACATGGCTTTGTCAGCGCCAGGCTGCCATTGCACCCAAGCTGCACAGATTCGGCAGCATCTCTCGCCATGTGTTTGTGCTGCCTTGATCTACATAGGTGTCTCGAATTCCCTCTAACCCCAAGCGCGTGAAACTCAGGTCTGCTTTAAGCGGTTGGTGCAATCTGGTACAAACACCGTGGCTACCGAGGCAGCCTTGAGATCTCTCTACGTTTGATAGGAATCCGTGAGAAGTAGGGCCCAGACTCTGGTCAGGAGACCCGTGTATGGGAGTTCTCGAGTGACCTCAAACAGTGGAAGCTTGGTTGCACGATTGTCCGAAGCCCTCTACTGCAGAAGATAGAGTACCGTGTTTGGAGTGGGTCGTGGGTGGGCCTGGTAGGAAAATGATGCACTTCCATCGCTCATCTGGCTGATACGCGATCGGGCAAAGCAACTCCTGATTGCCAACGCGCTTCATAGTGTCCAGATTTTCCGACTTTGAGAATTGTAAATTTTGTGGCTGGTGCGAAGTGAGATGGATCGCGCGATCATCAAGCAGAAGCGCTCCGCACAATGGCTCGGCCATCAGGTGAAAAGTCCCAACCTTAGTCGCAGGCTCCTGTGTTTTAAGGACATACGCAGAGCGTTTACCATGCATGTTGGCGGCTTGCTGGCTCTCGGCTGTTCGCTTGAATGGATTCCGACTCGACATTTGTTCTATTTCACTTCGTGCAGGTGGTGCTGCCGGGCCAGTCCATGGAGTGACCTGCGGACCCTGTCGCATGATGGGCTTGGCACGTCAGATGTCTTTGCATCAGACTGGTTGATTCCCTGTGTGTTATTTACAGCCCATGAAATTGTCCATGGCCCATGGCTCGCAAGCGAACCGGACATTCCACGAAAATACTGTAAGTTCCGTTCAATGAAGATCAGCAGAGCCTCTTCTTGCCAACCTTGGTGCTATTGCGAGGTTCCATGGTGGCCGGCATGTCATTTGATCTTATGCAGAGGAATCCATCACAGATTCCGGCTTGCTCGCTGTTCGTCAGTCACCAGTCACTTTCAGAGACAGACAGCATCAGTTGGGCCACTTCCGACGCCATGTCTGCAAGCGTTCCGCTGCTGCCCTCTCGGCAATCAAGCAGAAGCTCCAACACGAAACATGTCGGAGGCAATGGGTGGCGAGCATAGCCCGCGTGCACCTGGTCGAAGCTAGAAAGTATCAGCAATTCACAGTTCACTATGCATGCTAGTGCATGGCAGGTGTTGCTTGGCCTGGAATCTGCATGGCTGTGGGCTTTTCAGCACTTGCGGCGGCGCCCGGGCTTGCAGCATTCAGATGTGTAAGGACTTGCACATGCATCCATGGGTGCATTGCTGCTGTGCCAGAGGCGACAAAAGCAACTGGAACTCGTTTGTCCAGCTATGAACGAATATTCCTCAGAAGCTGCTTCTGCATCGTAATGGCCCCTGTGGCAGGTGCGGAATCCCGGTATGCGGACATAAGTTTGGCTATGCTTGGCTTGCCTTATCTTTCCCTGACAGGTGAGGTGCCCTGGCCACCGTTGAACTCGCGGTATCGCGGCTTGTTGCTTCTGAGAGGAGCTTTGGGATTCGTTGCGGTGCCTTGGCCGAGCCGGCTGGAGATAAATGCACTCACCTAACGGTCTTGGGCCCTCCTGTCGCTGCATTCACTGTCGCTGTTGCTGCGCCGAGGTATGGTCGTACTACGAATCCATCGCCCGGGTCCCGCTGGCGACTCTGACGCTCATCTCCAGGCCTCGCTCTGAGAAAAAATGCAGCCTTAAGCCGCCATCGGGCCGGCATCCCGACGTCACCGTACGCCTCGCAAGCCAAGGTCTGGTTACATGTCTGCTGTTTTGCCTGGCACATTCCAGTTTCAGTTGCGTCCTTCTGAAAGCCAGTCAGCCGTGGGTCCAAAGTGTGGATACTGTCAGCGGTTTTCTTTGTGGTTCCTTATAGGATGCTTACGGGGCTTGCCTGTCGCTTCGCAGGCTTCACCCGTTGCTCTCTACCGCCTTGGCCGGCATAATCCTCGGCGAGCCCGTGAAGCCAAGGCAGCTGATAGCACTTCTCGCGGCTGCATTTGGCACAGCCATGCTGGTACCACGCACAGAGGACTTGGGCCATTGCATGGTGAACTCATCTGCCTGCGAAAGGGTTCGAGCAAACTTCGACGGAACAGACAGCTCAGGAGCTGCTTTCATCGGCTCAGAACAGCACCTACGGCTACATGTGCTGCGTGTCTGCGGCCTTCTTCACCGCTGCGGCACTGCTCTGCGTGCGAACGCTCTCAGTGTTGGATGAAGCACCACATCATGCCCGAGAAGCGTTTCACTGGGGCAACTTGTGCGGCTCGCTGGTGCTAGGTTTACCACACGGTGCCTCAGCATGAAAAGTGGGAGATGCTGAGAGCCCATAAACCAACCAAAGGCTGCCGTCCTGTTTTGCTCTGTACAGGGGCCTGGACGGTCCGCGCCTCTCGCATGTTCCCTGTTGAACTCTCCGAGGCTTTCTTTGGCCCAATCGAACCGAGCTGCTCTGGATCCTGGCCACTGCCTTGTCCATGCAGTTGGCGCAGCTTGCGCTGACGCAAGTCCTGCGCAACCCTATGGTCAGCGCAGCGAAGTACTTCTTCCTCACCATCGTCTTGAATCTGGGCTTCGGCATCATAATGGGAGATCCCTGGCCTTGCTTGAGAGAGTGGCTTGGGGCAGGCGTCGTGGTGGTGAGCATGATTTTCAGTGAAGTGCCTGCTAGGCAAACCACTGCAAAAGCTTAGACGAAAAAGATCTCACTGATGGCATCGCAAGATCCGCATCGATCTAAGCTTGTGCTACGTCCTTATGTTCCATCCTTCTGCATGTGATCTCTGCTTGTGACCTCGTTGGCAGAGTCTGGCAGAGCAGACTCAACAAGGGGTCAAGCCTGAGATTCGACAAATGTCAAAGTACCCCCCGCTCCGACTCCGACATTCCCAGGGCTTCAGGTCTGGGCGGAGCGCACAAAGTTGCCGGATCCCTGCAGGCTGTCGTCTTTAATGTTGACGGGCAGGTACGGGTGGCGAGAGCCAATGGCATCGGAATTTGCAGGCAAAGAAGGGGCAACTCCACTAGCCGTGGATGTGATGGTGAATGGCCACAGGCTGGGGTAGCCTCTCGTCTTCGAACTTGCATAGACGCCTAGCAGTTAAATGCTTATTCTTCAGCCAGGCATCACATCCAAGATGCAAGGCGCTCTCTTCACCGGCAGTTGCCTGGAACAGACTCTGGATCATCTCTCAGATGCTGCTGTTGAACATGTGCTCATTCACCGATGCATGCAGCACCTGCGACGAGAGTCAAGCAGGTGAATTGCGTAGGTTTGCGTCGAAGCCATGTGCTCTGGGAGCCTGGCCGATCGAGGACTGGCCATCTGCATCTTCCGCGCGGATGCAAAGACGGCGGCATCCTTGCTCTGCCAGCAGCGCAGAAGGGAAGGGGGGCAGCAACAGAAGCACTAGCTCCGAGGTCCTGGCCTTGGTGGAGGAAGGCAGGGGAGGCACAGAAAGGACACCTGATGCCATGGACGGCCACTCTGATGCACAGGCCCCGTCGATGCGGCAGCTTCCTTGGATTCTTGGATCAACGTGGCTGTGATTCCTTGGAGGCAAGTTGAAATGTGGTTTTAAAGCCCAAGACTCTGGGCTCCAAGGAAGCGCCTGCATCCTGGAGCCAGCGAGCCGCTTCCCGAGCACTGAACACATGGAGAGCATCTTGCTAGCCACGTGACTTTGCTTTCTTCGATCATACGGCTCCATGCCTGGGCGTTCAGAATTAGGAAGAACAAAGGGAGCGAAGAGGTCGACTGCTCGGAGTTTCCCTAGGGCGTAGCCTCGGCGAGACGGGCGAATAAGCTGGTGTAAAGCGGCCCCACTCCGGCTTTTCAAGACTCGTAGCTCGCAGATACATCTAGAAGCGACGGCAGGAGGTTAGGAGAGCAGCCAGCAGCAGGATCCTCATCCGCCGTCTGGATCAGTCGTCCGAAGACCTTTCTGGAGCCCGTGTACCGTCTAGCTGCCTAACATATCCTACATGGAACTCCAGAGCACCCTGCTGAACAACATACAGCTGTATCAACTGCGAATCTAACGAAGCAAGCCTACAATACACATATCATAGTCTTCATAAGTTTACAACATCTTACGTTTGCACCATGGCACTGGCACCCGATCCGACGCTTGCTGCTACGCGAAAACGAGCAGTGGTACTGCTACTGCTGCTACTCTACTTCCATGCAATGGTATCCAATGTCGATGATACTAGTCCTGATGACTATTGACTCGCGACTGTCCTGCCCACGCAGTACTAGGGTGTTGATGATGTGTCCAATGATTATGCCGACGATGAAGGTGTTTCTCATCACGCAGCTCGTGCTAGCAGGTGCCACTATCGTTACCCTGCGCGCGGAAGTAGGTCCGAATTGAGCATAATTATTGCTTGGTTTACAGTAGCAAGATTCAGGTGGAAATCAGGTTGAGCCGGATTGGTGCATGCCTCAGGAAGCGAGCAGCTTTGAAACGTGATGCCATCGATTTGCTGTCTGCTGGCTGTATAGGCCTCTCCATCATCGAAGCCGGGCGGGATCCCGAAGAGCTTGGCGCTGAGAAGCAGCTGCCTTCGGAGCCATCATGCTTGGACCAGCTTGACTGGGAGATCGCATTGCACGACTTGCACACAAGATCATCTCGCCTGCGGTGTGTTTTCAAGCATGGTTTCATCAATCGTTTCTGTCGGCTTAAGCTCCACTGCCCACTTCGCTGATAGCTGCAGTGGTGCGGAGGGCATCCAACATGGACAAGAGGCAGAAGACGGAGGCAGAGGATCACTCGGGTCATGGGCACAGTCACGGCTACGGTGATGTTCGTCGATCCAGTGGCCGGCTGCCGGTTACTGTCCTCACGGGCTACCTGGGAGCAGGGAAGACAACGTTGTTGAACTACATCTTGAAAGTGCAGCACGACAAGAAGCTCGCCGTCATCGAGAACGAGGACTGGGGGACCTCTTTGCTTCGTAATGAGTTGGCTACCAGTACAATGTAGTCCTAGAAACCGTCTCCAACCTTGGCTCATGTGGCTAAAGGCCCCATAGGCCCCACCGCCACACCTGGACATTTAATTCTCGATTCCCCGCCAGATTGGAGAAGTTAGCATCGACGACTCACTCGTGGATCAGAAGCAAGTGGAAATGGCAGAGGAGCTCGTGCTGTTGGATAATGGCTGCGTTTGCTGCAGTGTGCGCGGAGATTTGATTGCGTCTCTACACAAGATCGGGGACAAATACGCTACTGGTGGAGCACATCTCGACGGAGTACTCATTGAGCTTACTGGCATGGCCGATCCGGCACCGGTGGTTCAGACGTTCATCGTGGACCCACAGGTGCAGAGGCAATTCTACGTGGACAACGTTGTGACCTTGGTTGATGCCAAGCATGCCATCGACAAGCTCGACGAGAGCAAGGGCGACCCAGAAAAGGGGACCGCCTGTGCGCAGATTGCATTTTCGAGCACCGTCCTCCTGAACAAGCAACTTGGCCGAAGTGCCGCTGACAGGCTTAGACATTGTACAAGTTGCGCCCTTGTCTAAGGTTGGATCTCCACCCTGGGTGTGGGGTTTGTTACATTTTCAGGGCCTCTCGTATTGCAGAGTACTGCTGCACTGCCCACCCCCACTCCATTCTCGAGCACCCAACCGGTATACCCACCCCAGAGCATCTCGCAGAACATCCCTGTGGTGGCCATATGCCTCGCAGAATCACGCCCTAAGTGGCCCAAGTGCTCATCCCGGAAGTCTCTGCAGAGCTTCCCAGCAGTGCACAACCCCAGAGTACCCAGCAGAGTATGCTTCCGCAGCGCATGGAGTGCCCTCCCCACATAGGTAATCGTCGAGTAATATCCAACCAACGGTCATTTTCGGCTGGACATGTTCAAACTCGAGTTGAATATCGCTTGTTTGCATCCTTGCCGAGATTTCTGGGAGCATGCGGCCAGTGCGTATAGAGTCGAACCACGCACCTGAGAGAGCTTGGGTTCAGGATTGATCTGGTGGATGATGCACACCTGAAGAAGGTGGAGGCGCGGATTAAGGAGCTCAACGGCGCAGCCGAGATTCTCAGGTGCCAGCAATCGCAGGCTCCAATGGACAAGCTATTTAACGTCGGTGCCTTCAACTTGGAGAGGGTGTTGGACGAGCAGTACATGGATGAAGCAGAGTTCCGACAATTCTACAAGCCTAAGATGGACCGTTCTGTCTCAAACGTTGGCGTTCGCTGCGAAGGCGCCGTTCAGATGTTCGCCATACAGCGGTTTTTGGACCAGTACCTAGGGCAAGAGGAAACAGCAAAGGACTTCCTGCGTGTCAAGGCAGTTTTGAACATCGCCGGCAGTGACAGAAAGTTTGTGCTACAGTGTGTGCATATGCTCCGAAACCAGGGCTTTACCAAGCCATGGGGCCCTGGAGAAAAGCGGGAAAATAAAATCATCTTCATTGGCCGCAGCATGCAGCCACGGCGGCCGGAGCTCAACGAAGGCTTCAAGGCTTGCTTGGTGACCAAACCCTTGCGCTTCCCAGTGGGTACCGCAATCCGGGCCAAGACAGGTGCAGGTCCCCATGACTGGGAGCAGGGCGTGGTACTGGCGCAGTGGGATGAATGCAACGCGTACCGCTTGCAGTTGAGGAGTGGAGACCAAGTCCATGCACCCATGGACATGGATTGCTTCGTGATGAAGGCCTGAGCACGAGACCTGCCGGCCACCAAAAGTTGTGGCCAAAGAGAGGCAGCAGCTCTGCCAACACACACGGCAATTGTTGGGGCCACCAGCCGAACGGCCGCGTTGCTAGAGGGGTGACGGTTTCCAGATCTGTGCTTCTGTAAAGCATGATGATTTTCGGACAGATGCGCTGTAAAAAACAACATCGACGTTAAGTTTCCGCGAACCAACTGCCGTGTGCGTCTTTTCTGCACATCGGTACTGAGTCACTGAGGCTGTTGTACTTACAAATGGAGTTGATTCGGTTCGAGCTTCGACGAGGCCTGTCGTACTTTCGGTGACGTAGCAAGCTTGCAGCTCGCACATCTCCTGCACCAAAGGTTCCGGCGAACCGCAGCAGCTGCGCCTCTCGGTAGCCTCGGCGCAGGCGCACCGCGATGTTCAGTTGCGTGGCGTCAGTTATCACAGACGCGGGAATGGGCAGAAAGTAGAGCTGTTGAAAAGAGGCTTGCTGTTCGGCCAGGTGGACTGCCAATTGCCAGGACGTGCGGATGGCTGTGGCCCCAAAACGGTCTGATGTGGCTCGAAATCATGTAATTTGCGTTTCTGAATTTTAGTGTGCTAGACACACAATTCCGCCAGGCCGAGATGTTCGCGTGACGCCCAGTTGATGGCAGATGCTTGCGGGATGTGACACCGTTGCCACGATCAGGGCATGTACACATCTCCGTAGACTCTAGACTGGTAGCTGACAGGTTTGTGCAGGACTTGATTGAGCATTGAAGAAATGCACCATGTCACCGCATGTTGTTCAAGTCGACATCGGCTTTTTAGGCCAGCACGTCATCAAGCAAGCATCAGTCGTCGTTGTCACAACGTATAGTACTTGAAAGTGTCAAACCTCCCGCTCACCACATCGCTGTGAGCTTTGTGGAACAGGCCGAAGCCTCCGAGTTCGACTTTTCATGCTAGCAGTCGATAGACTCGACATCTCTAGACCGTCTCAGTCACGTCCACCGTGACAAGACACTCCGTCGACTCCGCCCATCAAGCCAGGCGATTTGCTCCAGCGTAGCATCGAGCACATTCCGCGAAGTTCGTCTTGGACCTCGTTTCGTCCAAAATGCCCGGTAAGTCGTGCCGACATTCGCCGAATTTGCCGAAACTGTGCAGCTCCGAAAACTTGGTCACGCGGAGCTCGCGAGGACATCAAGCAGGCACACGTAGCAAGAGCAAAGCACGGACCTTCGTTGCTGGCATCAGGCCGTGAGAGCAGCCTTGGAACCTTGCGGAGATCGCCTCCTGCACCAGGGCAGCAGACAGGTTTCAAACCAAAGCCTCAGCCCCTGACTTGTTCCGCAAACCTTTCCACAGAGGCAGTGATTTTTGCCGCTCGTGGCGAAGAAGGCATCGTGGTGGAGAGTTATGTCGTCACCTTGTGTTGTGCGATCCTCGAGGCCGAGCGCTGTTGAGCGGGACACCCAGTGATCAGTGCATGCTAGGGTTCCAGGAAGGTCGTGATTGGTCTCAAGTGCAGCATCCACGACAAAGCACAAGACATGCAACAAAATACAATTGCTCTCGGATTAGCAACAATTTGCCGCCGGCTGGAGGAACTTGTGCGGCAGGAAGCATATAGAGCGGTCACTGATCGAATTTGGGACCCGAGTGATCGGAAGCTTCGGCGGGGAGGCTTTCGTTGGCAAGTTACTGCTTTAGAGTGGTTTGCCAGCTCAGCTCATGTGCTGCAGTGCCTCGTGGTGGCCTCTGTCACCTGAACGCATTGCTGGCATGCTGCAGCTTGGGCTCGAAGCTCCTTTTTGCAGGCTTGGCCTTGGCCATGTTGTGCAAGCTTGCCTCACTCTTGCCTGCCTATGGGTGGTTGCTTGTGACGGCGAGAGCGGACCAGTGTAGTGAAATCACCACGTGCGATGCTTGCCTCGCGGCTGCTTCCGGGTGCTTCGGCTGGTGCCATGACTTGATGGTAGAACAAGTCTGGATTGTCGGATCACGTTCTCAGGTTAAGTGGATAGGCATACTGATAGGCATCATAGGCATCGCCACGCAGTTGCACATGCTTGCACAGCCCAGGTTTGGAGACAGTTGCTGCTCGCAGGAGACTTGTTTGGAAGCCGCACAAGGCCAACGCGCCAAGCAGTGAATCCATCGGTGAGGTGATCTTGTAGGTGTGCCTGGGAGGTGACCGCGAGTTCTGGACATCATGTCCGAAGTGGCAGCAGCACGTGGACCTGAGTTGTGAGCTTGTTTGAAGCAGAACGCTTGTAGTGCATGGGGCACGGCCAAGACTTAACACGCATGCCCGCATGCCGCACTGCCCAATTTGCTCGCAGCAGGAGCTGCTACAGGTTTGCTCCAACATACCGGCACACGACAGCTGCGCTTGCATCAAGGCCTTGTCAAAATGCGACTGCATGGGTGAACATGCTCTGAAAGCGTGCCGATGTTGGTAGGCAGGATGCGTTGCTCAAGAAATCACGGCGCGGGCCTGAGCCCACCGAAGCTAACGAAACCAACGGCTTCTTGATTTTCCCTGATGAACCGATTAATTTCTCCACGTACAAAGAACGAAAGCCTTGCCGTCCTCGGTTGGGAAATCTCTGTGCGCACTTATCCGGGCCTTATGAGCTCGCAGCTTGCTGGCTGAAATGCGATTGTCGCACGTTCGTGGTACATGCCCCTGTTTCTCCGCATGCAATCTTAAAGCATGCTGGGGCATCTTTCTCTAATATGCATGGGCTATGGAGGGTGCTAGTCTCATCGTGCAGTGGGCATGCAGAAATCCGCAGCCTTCACGATAGTCCTTAAAGGCCTCATTTTGAGACAGGGTGCTCACGGGCTTAGGACTCTGATAACTTCTGATTAGCATTGGAAGCTGAAAGGGTCATTTGCTTTTTACACTCCACTACCGTCTGCAGTGGGAAAGTTAGACTCATTGTTAAGTTGGGCTCAGGCTGGATTGACTGCATGCTTCGCCAGCTATCAACCTGCTGCCGGCAACCAGCTTTTCCCCAGCGACGTGAACTGTGGGCAGGTGGATTGGGAAATCTATACCTAGCCAGCCGGCATTACCAGACTCCGGTCGATGTTTTGTCTGTCAAGTACAGTGGCACGTTGCCTGTCCCCTGAAGGCCGAAAGTGAAGCCGGGCCCCAAGGGTTATGAAAATGAGTAGCTCTGTGTGAGCAAAGTCTGAGCATTCATCAGCACTGAGGAAATGGGAACAATGCTTGCTGCCGCAACCACGGCTGTAGCCTCAGACACTTTACAGGCCTCGTGGCTGCGACGGGAAGATTGAAATTTTTCTGAGGCTATTTGACTGGGTACCTCGTAGACGCGCAGGAGGACAGCAGACTGTTGCGGGGCGCTCCCTCTTTCAACCCGAAACCCAAGACCCCATAGGGTCAAGCTGCTTGGGACTATTGTTGTAAATGTTCGTTCCGTCTGAGTTTTAGCAAGAACGCAGCCATCGTGACTCAGTGCGGATGCCGCAGTACTGTTATTCGGCATGTTTCTCATCGTGAATTTGTTCTCATTCCTGCTGTTGCCGCACGGGTTACTGCTTTGTGTGCATTCCGGGAAAGTTTGCAAGCCCATTTACTTAGCAAGTAAATTCGCAAAACGGCGCAGGCTGCGGTCATAGTGCATTGTCAGGCTTGGGATTCGAAACGTTTGGAAGTGCAGCGGTAATGCTTAGGGATCCACCATGGCATTGTCAACTTGCTTAATGTCAGGGCCTCGTAAGTCTCAACGCCACGCGACGATCCATTTGCAGTGATATACTGTGTTGACAAGACCCCCGCCGACAAGAAGCCTCTGCAGGCCAGCACATGTCTGTAAGGGAGTTAAAGGATGCAATAGGACGTTTCTCGAGCACAGCCTCTCGCTGAGGACTTGGATGCGAGGCGATCCAGTGCAGCACGACGCCAGATGCATTGAAGTGCCGTCGAACAGAGGAGGGGGACCAGAGACAACTTATCTATCAAAGTGTGTTTTGTACATTGCCGTCTTCAGAAGGATTTTGAAGACTTGCTTTGAGTAGCAGAGGAGTCAGAGGAGGGAATGCTGGAGTTCCTCTAGCATTAGTTCTGTGGATGCCAGCCGGTCCTTGCAAGATAGGCAGGTGGGGCAGCTTAAGCAGAGACGTGTTCAATGGTTCGAGCTGCAGGAGTGCTCCCACTGTGAGCTACCATGCCGGCAACTTCTATGTGGCGTAGTAGCACCGATTGAGGCCACTGAAACTGCACAGAGGCTGTGTTGCAGAAACTTGTGAACCTCGAACACCGCAGCTCAACGAGTCTACGAAGCCAGCCCGTCATGGGACAGATGATCTTGTACTGTGCACGGCCTGGATGGGGTGCATTGGGTAGGAACCGTGAGACGACTGTTAGCCGGACCGAAGCGTCTTCACTCAAAGACAGTGACTCGAGCAATCCGAGATGTAGAATTCAAGAAAAGCTGGGCTTGGCGGCTGCAGCAAGCAAGGCCCCGTTTGCGGTGTCCGTGAAATGAAGATTCCTTCTGCCTGATTGTAGAAACCTTGGCACTGACTGAGACTGAGGCCTGGAAGTTCACCAGGACACAACTTCGACCAAGGATTTGGCACGCCAAGAGAGCTTTGCAGAGCGGTGCATGGAAACAGATAAGATTGACATGCCCAAGTAATGTGGCGCTTTCTGTGGCATCTCTGGGCTCGGGCGAGATGCACCATGACATGACATCTTGATGTGAAGGCACCGACCGACGGTCCGCATTGATAGACTTAACAAGTTTCTCTGGCACAGCGCATGCTGTTCAGAACGTGCTAAGAGCCCGAAGGAAAATATGCCCTCCCCAATGTCAGTGTTTATGGCGCATGGCGGACGACCGCGCTCGCTTTGCGGTCATCACAAACTTCGACGCAGACTACGAAGTCGGTTTCCAGTGCGTTCTTGAGCTGCAGTATGGGGATATATGCGGCTTGATGTTCCTAACAGTCAGAGGCCGGATTACATGATGCAGCCAACGCAACATGATGCAGGCAACATGTGCAAGACTTCGCCAGGCCGCCGTAAACGATCAATACTGCAGACGATGGCGGCACACTTTTTTGCCTTGCGTCCTCTCGCGCGAAGAGATGCAGATGGTGTGCGAAGGACGCCACTTCGCGTGGGCGAAAGTTGCGCCCTGGCCACACAGCAAACGGCTCCTGAGTATTGGCAAAAGGTGAGCAACCCTTTTTGTTGGTTGTAGACCTCATCCGACGTTGTTTTCGATCATTAAGAGATCCGAGAATGTGGCAAACTAGCGGCCGCGATCCTGGTGCAAGTGGTTGTATGTCATTGTATGGCAGGAGTGGCAATAGCAGAGGCATGCAGCGGACGAAAAAGCAGTACAGCAGCAGAAACAGGGATGGCAGTCGTAGTCGTCGTCGTTACGCCGTAGCAGTCTTCGTTTTCATCGTCGTTGAGCCGGAGTATCACAACAATGACTGAACACCGGAAAGCAGCCACAATATTTTAGAAGCAGGTCGCATATCATTGTCTATTGTCTCTGCACTGGCATCGAGTCGATTTCTTGCCACAGCCTTGTCATGCAATTCGTCCAGCGTTTCTTGCTATTTTCCATGTTTCTCACTTAAGCTGGAACTCTACCCAGTGCTTGCTGGCTGCACTGTGGTCGCAGATGCTTTTCGAAGCGTGTCTATAAGCATCGGAGTTTCGGATCCTCAACCACAGTCTGTGAGTCTGGCCCCTTCTCGGCAAAGGCGCTCTTGAAATATCTCTTCAGTCCGCACTCCTGCACCACTGGCACCCGGCAGATATTCGGAAGCTGGATAGGTGGCGAAGAGGTGCCGTGCCTGGGGGCTGCACAGTCTCAGGGCGATACCTTCGACAGTTAAGATGCACAACCCTGAAAGCAGGCACGCCGTGCTCTGTTCAAAGCCGTGGATTACATAGAATCTTGACTGCCAGGGACTGGCAAGGTTTTGTGATGTGTTGGGGCAGTATGTGAGGGTGACTCGAAACCCTTGGTTGAACGGATACACTGCGAGGTGTGGATGGATGGCGATGCCATGGTCTTAGACCACACGCAGCAGCTAGATGCTTTTGTTGCCGGCAAATTTCGAAGGATCGAGACGAAGAGGGCATAAGACGCAAGAGCAGTTTAATGTCTTGTCCAATGCACCCGAGAGTGGGATGACCTTGTGGACCTTGCGCAGGAAAGACTTGGTCCTGGCAGAAGACATGTCCTGGGCGGATTATGTGAACACAGGAAGCTGCAAGACAGCCACGCGTGGCACGCAGAAGCAAGAACCTGATGTTGACAGGAGTCCTGTTCGCTCGTACTGATTCGGAATGGCTTCGGACCTTCTGGGACGATGCGTGGAATGGTGCCCATGTTCGTTTTCATGAGGCCGGCAGTGACACATAGATTCAAAGAGAACCACGACAGTGCTGCTCTGTAGGATGCTTGGTTCCCGGTTCCCTGAATTGAGACGGAGGCACCCTTCTGGGATCAGAGTGGACTTTGTCAAGAACTCGCTCGCCGGAGGGAATTCATACCTCAGGCAGAAGGGCGGACTGCTACGGCAAAGCGAAGCAGGGTTCAACGCAGCTGCCTTCGAGTCAATGATCCATTCTTTCTGCCAGGTGCTTGGCGCAATGGCAACACGGCTCCCTGCACAGGGCCCATGGTTCAGCTGGATGGGTGGACCCTACTTGAAGGAAACCTCACACCTTGGAATCTGGGATGCTGCAGCTCGGCCGAAAACGGGTTCACACGCAAAGGCGAGATGGGAGGTTCCAGCCGCAATCAGCTAAGGCCTCTCTGCAATTTGCGAATCCCCTGCATGCACAGTTCATTCTGCATCTTTGCGGCTTCAGCGAGAAGCTCCTTTTGTGTAGGACACCGATGGCCTCTTGCAGCATGTACACCAGGCAGTGGCATGAAGTACACTCAGCATGTCGGACCGTATCCTTGCGCAGGAAGATTTGTCAAAGCGGCTTTTTGCGCAACTTCTCCTTCCAAGCCGATGTCGACAACCAGCCGCACAGGCTTGCCGGGCCACTGTGGCAGACATCACTGGAAGTCTTGGCTGCAGCTGTGGAGTCCTGTCACTTTGGATGGCCAGCATGCACGGGAACTCTTCATCCGAACTGCATCCTGACTGAAGTCTGAGGGACGTTTGAGCCAAGCTTGGAATTGGCCTTCTACTCTTGCCCGAGGCATGTCCAAGCTCGAGATGATGGAACTGCCGCCCCCTGCCGTTCTCGTGATTCCCCACCTGCGGGCCGAATGGGGGAACAAGCTGCATCTCGGACCAGAATGTCGAAAGGTGTTGCCGTGTCAGGATGGTGTGCGGCGTGTTTTTTTGCAGCAAACTTTACGCCAGGGTGGCTGCCAAGTCCGTGCACAAGGTCGGCCTCAGTCACTTGCCTGCAGATAGTGCAGCATCTCTAGGCCGTGCATTTCGTCGGGATTCGTGTCTTCAACTGAGGTCGCCCAGTAGCTCTATGGCAGATGTGTGACTATGTGCGGGGCACGCCACCTCCTTGCCATCCAGTCCTGGGGCAGCTTGATCCATCGCAGCTGTGGTGGTGCAGCTTCCTTGCCAAAGCCTGGAAACACACACGGGTTGAGACATTCCACAATCATTTCAAAACAGGCAGAATCTGACAGCCCAGCCCAGGTTGGGACCTACCCTCCAACGCCGACTTCGACAGAGTTTTGGCGGGAGTGTCCCTATCGTGGGCTCAGCTACACCTGTATCCACCAGGCTTCTGGGACCGCTGTTAGGAGCCAGTCCTGTCCACTACTGGGGTGGCCGCAGGTGTCAGAATTCAACTCGAACCGCCTGGCGGGGGCCTCAGAACCGCACATAGGTGTTAGTTAGGAGATCGATAACTGCAGGCATGTATGCACAAGTTTAGACTGCATACGATTTACGTTCCGCATGCACCGAGCCCTCACAATTCCGGTAGGCAGAGACTGAGAAACACCGTCATTGGTCACCGTAATCCGTGGCCGCATCCCCTGTGACACAGTGAGTTTCAAGGCTTCAGGTGGCCGGACAGTGAAGTCAGGCAGGTCGGAGGCTGCAAGTGTGTTCAGGGTCAGGCGGGCGAGTCACACATGTGGGTTCTTTAAATCAGTGAATCAGTGAGTGTGAGAGAGTGGGCCGACAAAGGACAGAGCGATGACACATAGCAATATGGTCGTGTGATTGTATTAGCTACACGTGTGCGTGAGTGTGTTGCGACGCTTGTGTCATACTACTCTGGGAGGAACTTGCTGGAATTTGATGATGCCTGTGCGTGTGTGCGTTTTGTTGTTCCCATAGAGGAACTTACGGCAAGCTTGCTTTAGAGGTGCAAGGATCGCGGATCCCTGCAGTCTGGAGTTTTGCGACTGCGAGAGAATACTAGACACAAAAGATTCATAGAATAGTACTACTGGGCACTGTCACGGCATGTAACGGCCGTTGTGAGAATGGTCGCTCCGATAGAAATTGAGAATACCCTTGGCTCGCAGCAGACTAGCAAAGAGCAAATGGGGCCGTTCATACAAGGTGCCGAGCAACTGCTGTTCTGCATCCTCAAGGGCACAGCCACGACATCTTCGACAAGAGTCGAAGCAGGCAAGGGGATTCGGCAGTGATTCTCTTTGTCGATGGCATGGAGGAGCTGTTGTGTAGCGCTGGTTTTTGAGAAGTGAGCAGAGGCGAGTTTTGGGTGGCAGGTCGGGCATTGATCATTCCTCGCGGCGAAGTGCTGGTCGGAATCCAGGCTAAAGTTTGGCCATTGACCCCCGCAAAGAATAATTAGCTCGTGATTCCAGCACCAGTTGCCCAGTTGCTTTTATGCATACTTGCTCGCTTAAAGCGGCTCTGCGGCACGTGATAGGGTGTACCATGCCTACCAAGGTTTAACAATAACACCGGTTGTGGCATTGTCTGGGCCACTTGACAGAAACCGAGCTTGATCCTTCAATTCGCGCTGCTAAATACATCTGACCGTCTTTTGGTATTCATTTGGTCGTCTGGAAGGTTCCGCTCTGGAGAAGCCCACAACAAAGATCCAATAGCCTCTTCGTCCAAGAAGCAGACTGCGGCAATGCTGCGGCCTGAGCGTCACGCTACGAGCTCGGGCACTTCGTCACTTGTGACCGCAACTGCGCGCGCCTGTGCAGACACGTTTCTTCAGCCGGGAGCCTATGCCCATTGGTGGACGCTGGAGGCTGGCAATGGTTCGGTGACCCTGAGAACTTCAGACTGCATCAAGTTTTCGCTTGTGTGCCATGTTTCACACATCCTTCCTCGATAGACATACACCTGCCTAAGAAACTGGTTGGGAGCACCGCGCGGTCATGAGCCAGTGGATCAAGTGTCCCGGTTGAGACCTGCTAACTTCGGCAAGAAAATCATTTGCAAGCCTTGGTAAAGTTGTGGCCGCTTGCAAAGGTTGCAGCTGCACAGCAGAAAGAGGCTCTTAAAGCAAAGCCCTTCGCAAAGGCGACGGCAGCAAACTTTTTGTCGTGGCCGGTGCTACGAATCTGCATGCCTTGTGTTGCTTGTTGTAGGCTCGAGCGGTGCTATCCAGGGACGCAAAGTTCGCGCAGGCGCCAACTTAACTTGGCGGCCAGTCGGATGGCCATCTAGGTGCTCAACACGGTCACTTGCAATAGGATACAATAGGCATGTCGGTTAGTGATTATGGGGTTGTTGCACTTATTCCTTCGACGAGTGCTTGGACATGGAACGTGAACAGGTTGCATTCGTAGCCAAAACCACACTGCAAACAAACGCAATCGTGACAGACTCTTGGTAAGCCGACCAGGCACGCTGTGAACGACGCCGTGTCTGGCCAACTTCGCCACGTCCCTCGCAGATGGAAGTGGACTGAAAAGGCGGAGGTAAAATGCGGCACAAACGAGCAGCTAAGTGCCAGCCCACTTTGTCTGAAAGCCATCGGCATCTTCGAGCCTGGCCTTTGAGCCGCCCAAACCTCATTAGCAACGCAGGTGATACCGTATGCCGAGATCGCTCTCGACTCGACAGACTTGACAGCCTCTGCCTGAGTTCGACTGGAGACGACCGCTGCCCACGACATCCCACGACCGAACGTCTAGACGCTTGACACCAGGTCGATGATCACTGGCTGGACCGTCTGGCGGGTTGCCTACAACAAGGAACCCACGATTGCCAACCTATGGGAGTCTGCTCTGAGGCCCGCCTGGCATCACAAGCTCGTCATAGCCTGAGGAACACGAAGTACATGAGAAGCCAACAATGTGCACTCTACAACCGGGCTCGTCACTGCACAATCCACGAGGCTGTCAAACGAACCAATCGTTCTCAGCATGCCGATTCTGTCTTTTGGTGGAGTTGGTCGCTGACGAAAAGGTAGCGCCAGCCAGAGCAGCAAATCCGCTCTCCCGGATATGCTGAGCCCGGGCCTTGGCACTGAAGACACTACTAAAAGCCTGGACCTGCAATAGACCAGGATTGGCTGGGAAGCCGATAGTGGAAGAGTACGTTGTGACGCACTCGGATATGGTTGGGATTGACACGACTCATTGTTTTCACTCTGCCTTTCTCGTGACTTGCCTGCTGGGCTTTCACGGCCCTCTCTACGTTTTCCACCAGCCCACATGCCATAATCATTGCGCATGGTCAACGCCCAGGTGCCAAGCTGCCCGCGCATCGTGCGGACCCCAGAGCAGCTGTGTATGGTCGCGACAGGTCATGAAGACAGGCCATCAGATCAGATCACGTTACGCAGCCGCAGCTGGAGTGTCCAGCTTGGGAGGTACAGATCGACGCACTTCACATTTCAAGCATTGCCGTTAGAGCCCGGTGCCCCAAATGTCGAATTGCTGCACAATTGCAATATCAGCGAGGTTCACACGGCTTCTAGGCTCCTTTTAGGCGTGTTGCACAGTAGTGGCATGTCAGCTTGTCGAAGGTTTGGTGTTCGATACGACTGGACAGTGCCATGCTCTCAGTATCGCTGATGAGCAGAGAGAAGTCGAATATGAATCCAGCATCTGGGACAACAAGCGCCACTCGCCAGGTCCGTTTTCTGCCAGGTTATGCCGAGGCCTTACACAGCTCGCTGTACACGAGCTGGAAGCATGCAGAAAAACGCTGAACTCCGCCTGATGTTGCCTAGGTTCGTTCAGCCATTCGTTTACTGAGTCTCAGTGCGCGATTCCACCTTGCTCCAGTCTTACGTCTTACATGTCCCCCAAGATTCCAGAGCTCGGCAGAGACTTTTCGGAATCGCGCGTGAGGATGGTGCTTCCGTGTCCTTGCCAAGACGGCGGTTGCCATGACCTGATCTCGAACGCAGTGGTTGCGAAAAAAATTGATTTGCTGTCGGTTGAATTGAAACTGCTCAGGCCGCCGTACCGTGGCTCTGTGAGCGACTTCCTGGGCTGCCTCGCTGCCGAGTACACGGCCAGGCTCCTACAATCTCGCAGAGCAGAAGTCCTTTTCAGTCTGATTTTCGGCGGACTGAGCAGCTGCCAATGTTCAGCAAGGTGAACTTCTTGCACAATGTTGGTGCAGTTCTTGGACGAAGCTCTGTGTTGAAGCTGCCACGGCCCTGGTCCAATCTAAGCAGAGTGCATTGACAGCGGACAGACCTGTGATTGTCGGCAGGCCACGAGTTCCCCTGAAGCTTGGTGGTACTGCTGTGTCTTATGCGACTTGACAGAACGCGAGACTTGCAGCTGCGGAAGCGTAAGTTTTGATCGGCCGTACCTGCAGGTCACAGACAGCATTGGCAGGCATCTCAGCGCTCGAAGCTGCATTGCAAGCTTTTATGCAAGCTTGTCGACAGTAGCATGTTCCATGCAGCCCGACGGAGCCCCAGTTAATCTGACTGTGAGATCCGCCTTGTGTTGGCAGTGCCCGCTTGCCATCATCTCGTTGCTCTCGCGTCAATTTATTACGTGTGCAGCCTGAGGAGTCAGGTCTCCAATCTGTGCTCTGTGCAAGTCGCACAGCAGTGCTGCTCGGCAATAGTAGCCTCTGATATGCGCGGGCGGTTCCAGAAGATCAGCAGCTCAGCGACAAAACCGGCCTTTGCTGACCATCCCTCGCTCGCGACAAGACTAAATGGCCAACCGAACAGAAGGATCTGCGAGTCAACTTCGAACAGCGCTGCGCAATTATTGTGCCTGCTTCTGCCAAACTTTCGTCTCTTCTCGAGTCACAGGCTGAGCTTCGTCTTGCTGTTTGCCGTGTGAGGTCTGGCGGCGGGAGAAGCTGCAGCATTGCTGAACAAGCTCACCTTCGACGAGGATCTTCCTTCCGGGCCCGGCAGTTGCAGAGCATCGAGTGGATGATCAGGACTTTGTTGCGAAACAGCGGGAGCAGCAAGGCACGAAACGAATTCGCGGGCCAGGTGCTGAGCATGCCGCGGCTGACAGTCCGTGGAATGAACCTGCGCAGAGCAGAGTCCGAGTGGGAGAGCCGCGGCCCAAAGAAATGCAGGCTGGGGGATGGTGTTGTGGAGGCGAGCAAGTCCATTGCACAAGGAGCTCCTTGCCTGCAATAGGAGTGCACCAGCTCTCGCCTGCACTTTGCACCTTTTTAGGTGGAGGGGGTCATGGATGTTGCTGGGGACCCGGACTTGCCTTTCAGTACCGCAGCTTCAGTTTAACATAGCCAGGTGAAGAAACCTGTCCAAGGTGCTGGAGACCAAGCATCGGAACAGCCAGTAATTTCCTAAATGAGCCCACGTTGCCACGTTATCAACCGTGCGTGTGGCTAAGGCTCGCAGCAGCGGTTTGAGTGGATTTCTCATGGGGGCCTGCTGCCCAGCAAGCGCCATCACATGTGATCACACTCCTTCAAAAGTGGGGGTTCGGTGAGGTGGGAATCGGAATGGCCGGCAGCTTCGTCAAGCCAGTCTCACGCGTTGGCCAGGCCGCTTCACTGGGTAGCTGTCGAGTCTCGAGTCTGGAGTACATAGCGAGTAGTAGCAACATGTACAACAACACGACAGAGGTGTAATTGTCTCTGCATGTATGTGCGTGTGACATAATGACCATACAACAATAGCTTCTAGTCATAATCATGTCATAATAATCATAATTAACATCGTGCTCACCATGCGAGTAAGACAAATCTGCTCACAAGAACACATAGCATGAATAGTATTATTACTGTACCTACCGAGCTACCTACATATACACATATACATATACACACATAGACATATATGTAGACGTATGAATAGGGGCAAAAGAAGCATGCGGGGCAGATACACCTCAAAGCACGGTCTCTCGGTGATTGCATCAATGTCGCTGGACCGTGCTAGCCCGCCGGGTGAGCAGGTTCAACAGCAGACGGTTGGTCGAAGTGCGAGATGTGGCGGACAAGCTCCGAAAGAGGGAAGAGCGAAGTGCATAGGCATAGCCGTTGTGGTTCAAGCACCAAAAGCACCCTTGCCGAAAGTGTAGACGTTGGACTGATGTGTTCCTTCCGCGCATTGGTGAGTCTTGCGGCAGTGGCACTCGCAGCCGGGCATGGCCAGCTGACAGTGCCTTTGGTTCGAGTAGACTCAGTGGGCCGCCGGGAAAGCCATGAACAACGGGCCCCTGTCTACACGTTGGATGGCAATCGGGGAGGCTACTCTCCCACAAGCATGCGATGCCACGATTTCAACCCAGATTCAGACGGACCGAAGACCACTCTGCAAGCCGGGTCCTCCTTTGATGTGACCTGGACCATGGAAGCCGGACACCCCGGCGACTGCTACTTCTATGTGAGTTACGACCCAGACCCGAGCAACGCGGTCAACTTCTTCAAGATTGCCGCAATCCCAGGGTGTGGCGCACCGGATGGCCTGAACATCCCATCCTCTGTTACCACTTCAGTTCTCCTTCCCCCAGAGCTGCCGGCCTGTGAGCACTGCGTGCTTCGTTGGGAATGGACGGCACATCAGCAGGTGGTGAACATCGAATTCTACGTGCAGTGTGCGGACATCAAGATCGCCAGCAGTGCTCAGCCTGTGCTGCCTTCACCAGTGACGCCGATCTCGGGCATCGAGCACCTGCCACAGGGTGCTGATGGCTACCGCAAGGTATACAACGGTCAGGGTCCGGAAGAGCAGTACCTCCTGGGCCCTGCTATAGCGACCTACAGTGCCTGCGACGCGAACACGCCGGGTTGCCTCGGCTTGGGGGTAGCGGCGATCAGCACCTCGAACTCGAACGAAGCAGCAGCGACTCCGACTCCGACCACAGCAGCGACGGACAGCCCCACAGAGTCTGGAAGCGTTGTGCCTGGAGCTGACAGTGACAACTCTGGGGCTGACAGTTGCCCTTTGGAGGGATTCGGGCTGCCGTCCTTCGTCTCCCAGTGCTACTGCGGCTTCGTCGGCTCCGACGGTGCAGGTTGTGGGCCAGATGATGGGACGGCCTGCTGGTGCAAGTGCTGCTGCCATCATGCGGCTAGTGGTAGCTGCCGCTACCGCATGACAGAGATGGAAGATCTACACTCGTCGCATGCCGTCGGATCTCTCGTGGGTGCGATGGGCATGGGGTCCATGCTGACAGTCCTCCTGGCTTGAACGTGAACCACCCTGTACAGTTCTGATATGTTAAAGATCGTGAGTTCTGATTCTCTGCTCACAGAGTGATCAGCCAAGCCAGAGCCACCCGAGCACTGGTGGTGGTCAGACACATCTCCGGGCACACAACAGGAGCTCCCTACGGAGTTCCATTCCATTTAGCACTTGTAGTCGTATGTCTTATGTACCAGATAGTTTCGAAGTTTTGGACGGCAAAGGCCGCCGTAAACCAAGTGAGCCGTGGAGTTGTGGCGACTCAGCGAAGGCGCGCGCCCTCCACGACCCGCCTGGGCCTCCGCAAGCGCGGAGCACATCGAGCCCTCCACGTTTGACTTGCCAGAACGTGGTGCCCAAAGAAGCCGTGGAGAGAGAGAGAGAGAGATTTGTACAGCAGAGCTCGTCCCTCAATATGAAGGTCCTATTCAACCTAGATGGGGTTGTGCAATCGTGCGGTTCGGGAGACTGCCCTCGGCCTCTGCCCCAAGCAATGCACAGAGAGTGAAAACCACGGGGCATCAAAGCTGCAAAGGCAAGAGAAGTCAGGCCTAGATTTGCAGCATGGAGACACCCGCAGGCAATTTCAGACGTTGGCTCCGGACTGGCGGCTGAACTTGCCCCGGACTGCAAGCACTCCGTGTGCTCGTGAGCTTGCATGGTAGGTGTAATCTTAAGCCATGGTGAGCTTGTAACCTGTGGAATCACATTTCATACATTGGGAGGAAGCGGTGGGAGTTTAACCTTGCTGCCGAAGGACTCCGGTCCTACGCAGCGCCATCACGCTAGAATGAGGCTGTGGTGGCATCATGTGCTGTGAAGTGTTGAGGGCCGAGATTGTCTTGTGCCAGGAAGCGTCAGCCACGTTTGTTCTTCAGCGCCTGAGCCTCAAGCCTCGAAGCGGACCATAATCCTTCATTGGATCAACGTATTATTCTCTGATGGCATCTGCTGGACAACTCCGCTCGGGACCGACCATTGACTGGCTTAGGTACCAACAAGCACAACTGACCTCATGGACGACGCAGGCATCACTGCGAACAGACTATGCCTTGTTCCAGTAGCCGCTTGACTCTGCGCAGAGTCGGGGTAGAGTGTGCCAAGCGATGACACAACGACCCTGCGGTGGTGCTTGGATTTACTGGAAAGTGCCACGCATGGAGGTCCCTCGCACCTCCGACCCTTCTCAGACTTGGAGGCCAGCACTGGTGGAAGTGGTTTTCGGACAACTGCTTCCGCACTGTTGAGTTCATGGCTTCCTGTATTCCTGTCAGCCAGCCTTGTCAGGCAGCGACGCTCCATCATCTTGGATCAACGCGCCCCTGGGCAAGTGCTTTTTCGAGCCGCCATGTTGAGCCACGCTTTTGGATGTTGCGACTTGTAGCCCGAGCTGTGGCAACCACCCATGAGCCAAGGTTTGCGTGGGTTACAGGAGGCGCGGTTTCCTTGTCGCAAGCATTCGGAGGCTGCGCGCCGTCATGCATTTCAGCTGCGAATGACATCCCCCCGGCCCTGCATGAAGAAGCACCTTTGAGTTGCTTGCAGCATTGCAGGCACAATCAGGTTTGCGTAGGCTGCGACAGGAACGCACGAATTTTAGCCAGTCAACCTGAGCATTTGGAACAGGCGTACATAGCCACAAGCTTGAACCTGACACCAGTATGGAACGACACTCAGGGAGTCGATCTGTCTTCCGCAGAGTAGAGTAGTCTTGAAATTGAAAAGTCTGGTTTTCCGAAAGAAGCAATGTAACATGGCGCAAGTAGCACGGCCAGTGGGATGCCGATGCTCCCTGGGCAAAGTGTGGCCCACAGATCGTGCCAATGTGATCTATAATGACGGTCTATTGACTTGTACGCGGGTGCCCGGGTCGGGGCCACGGCTCAGGCTGTCCAGGACAGACTGCAGCCTCGAGTCAGGCTTTGCACCACTCCCTGTTTTCATCGTAGTTTGCCGACTGAGCTCCTGCGAGGTGTCCTCGAGCTCCCTTCGAGAGGATGCAGGGAGGCACAACGGCGAGACGTCAGGGACATAAATTGCTTGCCGAGATTCACATTTGATGTCAAGCACACGATGGCCGTGCTGTGCTGCACATGGCTCACTAAAGGCCTGTTGGTGCCTGCTACATTTTGACAAGCTGGTCTCTTTTTAAGGATTAGCCTAAGACCCATGGCTGCTATGTCCCCGCGGGCGTCGTCCAAGTCGGCGGGTTTCCGAAAAGGCTCCATGGAGATCAAGAATCAGCACCACCTGGATGACACAATGACGCAATTAAGGAGTCTCCGATATCACGGGTACTCGGCCAAACCTTGGGAGGATGCTCAAGGCAATATCATCTGGCCTTGGATTAGAATCCAACTCGCCAAGGTGGTGTTCTCACAGGCCTTTGAGATGGTGATGGGAGCAATAATTCTTGGAAATTTGGTACTTATCTGGTATGAAACGGATGTCGACGCAACGTGCTTTCCCGAGTATGCATCGGATTTCGCCAGCTGCCCGACACGCAGTGACACTGTGGGGTGGATTCCTGCCCTCAATCTGGGCATACTCGTGCTCTACTCGCTGGAGTGCTTGGTCCGCTTATATGCAGAGCAATGTCTCTTCTGGTGGAACAGATGGAATCTGACAGATTTCGTCATCGTACTGTCTGGATGGTTTGATTTCATTTTTGCAGATGTAGTCAGTGTCAACTTGCTGAGAATGTCCAGGTTGATTCGCGTCTCGAGGGCAGTTCGCCTACTTATTTCCATCCCTGAGTTTTATTTGCTGATCAACGGCCTTTACTCTTCCATCAAGGCTATCCTATTCGGCGCACTGCTGCTAGTCGCAATGATTATCGTTTGGGCCGTAATTGCTGTGCAGCTCCTTCATCCCATCACGTCCACCCTGGAAAAATACTACTTACATTGTGAGAGATGCCCACGTGGATTCAGCACTGTGTTTCAAGCCGGGCTTACTTTGTTCCAGCAGCTCGTAGCTGGCGACTCTTGGGGAACAATTAACCTGCAACTGGTGGAAGAGGCACCATGGACAATGGTCATTCTCTTCGGGATGATGATGACAATCACCTTGGGGCTCTTGAACCTAATTTTGGCCGTGCCTGGGCCTGCAAAAGGACATTTGTATCCTTATTCCAGCCGCACTAAACCCCCAAGTCCCAACGATGGCATTCTGCCCTGGAAGGTTGGCTTGGTAGTAGGCCTAGTTTCACTTCACCATATTGCAACCATAGACCATGCCCGCAAAGAAGCACGCCATCATCAGGTAATCGTTGAACGAGCCGCAGAAGCCCGCGAGAACGATCATGAGGAAAAGATTAAGCAGAAGGAGAACCAGAGAGCTAGAAGCATGGAAGACCTAGCAAGGCTTTGCGCATCGATGGATGTCAACAACAACGGGCTCATCTCCTTGGTAGAGATGCAGGAAGGCTATGACGATGTCGACGAGTTTGCAAAGCTGATGCAAGTCATGGACATGAAGAGGGAAGACATGGAGACGGTATTCAATGTTATGGCCGACAGTGTGACTCAAGAAGTCTCGTACTTGGACTTCTGTCAGAGCATCAGCAGCTTCTTCAAGCGGGATCCGGTGATATTGCAGTCTCTGATAAAGTTCTCCGTCATGGAAGTCCGCAAGATACTACAGGAGGAGGTCTTGATGGTCTTGCAGGAACACACAGCAATGCTGCAAAAGCTTTTGCCCAGGGATGCTACTAGCGGCACATCTCAAGGACTTGACCACATGCCTCACATGCACAGCAGCCTGGGCTTGAAGCTCAGCAGCCAAAGCGTCAGCGCCTCGTGGAGCCGGCCAGCGGTGCCCAGCTTGGCACAGGAGCCGTCGGAAGCCGCGAGACTGTCCTCCTTGACGACGAGGGACTCAAAGCTGCAGGTGCTCTTGTCCAGAGCGGAAGCAATAGCGGCTAGTGCACTCGATGATAGCTTACCTGAGGATGAGGAGGCTCCGGGTTCCGGTGCTTGCGCTCCTTCCGGTCCTGGCCCAGATTTGCAAAAAGCCCAAGCTTTGTGCACGAGCTTCCGGGAAAGAGAGCTGGAAGCCTTGCACTTGCAGAAGCAGTGCCACGAAATCGTGCACCGATTGAACATGGACCTGCAGTGCAGATATGGCGATGCTAATAATCCGTCTAACGACACCGAAGGTGCCCAAACTTGCATGTACCATGTGGAGCGGTTCTAGCAGACCCTGCAACCACAGTGGTTTTTCCTCAGCAACTTGCTGTACCTTGATGCATGGCCGCTTGTTATCCAAAATCACATGCTGTACCCACATGCCCACATTGAACCCAGGGCTTGCCGACACACCTCCCGCATGGCCCCCACATGGGCCTCGATGATGCAGGCTTTTGGAGCAGGCTCAGCATATCCGCCGGCAGCTGTTCCGAGCACGAGCCAAAGTTGAGGACGCAAAGGCGAGCGCTCAGGACAGCTTCATGACCTTTGCTTGAAAGTAGAGACATGAAGCCTCACACGGAAGCTGGGGGCTAGCAAAGCAGCCAAGTTGATCTCCAATTCTAGAGCTGGTCAGCAGTATGGTCAGTGGTCAATGGAGAGTGACATCAAATTTTCGCGGCTGTCGACCTCTCATGAATCGCCAGGAAGGCCGTTTTGTGAACGTCAGCGTAATTTGTAGAGATCGAACGCGAGTGACCAGCAATCGGATCGTCGGAGTCGGGGGATGTCAGAACTGCTGAGACGAGACGCTCCGTACAAAGCCTCAGTCAGTCCTGTGCCCACCGTGCCAAAGCAAAGCCGCGACATGGCAGCAAGTACACATCGCAGTCCTACTGGATTGACCATTCCTATCTGGCAACCTGCAGTTAGTCTCGAAAGCCTCGTATCGCCCAGCAGCCCATGTCAGTGCCAAGAACCTTGAACTCTTTTCGAACACCGATCCGCTTCAATACCGGCTTTGAGTGTGATGCCAGCCGTTTGTTCACGGGGCTCACGTACAAATCACTGCTGCAGGCCAGCAGGCAGAAGTTTTACTTGACTCTTGCGCAGCTTCACAGTTGTTTCGTGCTTGATTGCTGGCTGGAGGACAGATCTTTCAATATACTGCGGTTGGCGCAAGAAACGGATGGTCGGAGCCTGAGCAACCCCGGCCCCCCCAAGCCCAATCCACAAACTGAGCTCAGCAATGCGCTGCACATTTTGCAAGGACGGAATGTGATGAAGAGGGCGTAAGGGGATTCGGTCCTCCGAACGACTCCAATGTGTGGCAACGCAGAAATGTTCAAAGCACGAGCCAGTGAGGTCTCATCGAGTCGAGCTTGGCCTCCAATAACCGAGACCTTCGAGACCAGAAGCCTGGCCCTGACTCTCCGGCATTCAACGCAACAGCTTCCGAGCATGCTGTACCCGAGGGAAGGATGTGTTGATGCAGAGAAGGAAACGGACTACGATGCCTTCGAGGAGTGGCCAAGCCGAACAGAGGGGAAAATCCCTCTCCTCCACCAGCGTGCCTGTGCCCGAAACCCTCGGCCCGTACGCCGTGGCCCAGAACCAAGGCCAGAGCTGAGGGCCCTGGCGGCCCACGCTGAAGAAGCTGAGCGGCGCGAGCGGGAGGCAGTCGAAGAGGTGGAGAGCCTCCGTCAGGTGCCTGGGCTGGAGCGGCTGAAAGTGACATTCGGAACTGGACAGAGGCAATTGAGGCAGTCATCATCTGCCCACGTTCAATGCAAACATCAGTCAAAGCTGGGTGCTGCCCCCTACTGTATTGTAGCTTCTGTCTTCGCCTTCACACCGGTATCATTGCGCAGGTTCAGGCCCAAGTACAGTAAGTGGCTGTTTGAAGTGTCAGGCCTTGGAGCGAACTGGGCTCAGGCGGCCGGAGGCAGCATGCAAGCTGAAGCCTTCAGCCGGGCTGATGCGCACTCCGTGTGCTTTTTTGCCAGGGCAAGTCCAACCAGCCACTAGCAGCTGTGCTCGATGCCGTCGCTGGAGGGCTTCCTTTGCAGGACTCTGCATGTCGCAGCAGTCTACTGTTTGCCTGCCATCGTTTCTCCAGGAACAGATGTGCTACGAGTGGTTGCGAATGTTGCGACACGACAAGCCTGCACACAGCGCTCTAATGATTGTCGAGGCGGGGCCGCACGGGTAGCAGGCTTTTCTCGCCCGAACAGCCACATGAGATCTGCATCTTGTCAAGACTTTCAAGCTGGAACTGCAGCTGTCTGCCTGTAGTCTGCTGGCGTTACCTCATGCCTTCGGCTCAGGCAGAGTGCGATGTTTGGGAAGACCGCCTTCACAGCCTTTTAGCGCCAGAGGCCTGCAAACCAGGCTTCCGGCGGCAGCAGGGCCTCGACCGCTTGCAAGCGGAGCTATCGGCTCCTCGGCTGTGCGATCTGCTTGGATTGTCTTCACGTGGTAATTACTTGAGAACGTCCGGGGGACCGACGTTCATTCTGGTACAAGCTCGGCGCAAGACAAATTGGCATGCGAGTCGTCCGAATTGCCTCTCCATGCAAAATGCGTGTGCTCTCTTCTTCCAGGATCTGACGTCAGAAGAACGAATGCGGAAGACTAGCTGCTGGTGCAGCATTCGATGTGCTCTACATTGAGGTTTGGTGACTCTTAAGAGCTTGAGTAGGATTCCGGATCGACATGGAGGGGTGGCCTGTTTCACAACGCCTGCAAATTGCATCCAGCGCGCTCACCTTGGCGGATCAGCAGAATGTCTTCTGTCTGCTACATCTTTCTAGGCTGGGACTCGCACGTCCGGTGCTTTAGATCGTTCCTTGCATGGGTTTGCTTCGCTTTGGTGTCTTGCAGCTCCCAGGTTGCAGCACATGTCTGCAGCTTCTCTCCCAGAAGGCCGAGCAACACGCTTGGCGCAGCCTGGCCAGACGTGGAATTCAGGCATGCCTAATTTTCGCTTTGGTAGCCCCAGCTTGCCGAGCATAGCCCCGAGGTGACTTGGAGGTGGTCTATGCGCTCGTAGATGACTTGCGGTGTGCCAATGACATGCTCGCCGGGGAAAGGGCCAAAGAGCAGTGGCAGCAGCTGCCTGCTGTTGCCAAGGAGCCCAAGGTTGGGCAGGGCGGAATCGAGGTAGGGAGGAGCCTTCTATGAAGGGAAGCCTCCATTCACCCCATTCTCCTCCAGGAACCACCCACATCCCAGGGTTTCTTGCAAGACCGGTGCTCGCACGTGATTCTTGCTGTAGGAGCAGCAGGGTCTTCCGCATCCACATGGATCTGTGGAGGTCGGTTATAGGAGGATGTGAGGAATTCTTTGCCGGGTTTACGTAGACTGGTGGACACTGGCAGAATGCTGTGCGCTTGACTCTTGATGGCGGGGGAGAAAATTTGAAAGAAGCGTTTCCGGTCTTCCATGAAAATGCGCCTTACGAGATGCCGGAATGCCAGAACTCTTGCCAACAGGACACAGAACGAGCTTGGCGATTCTATTGTGACAGCCTGTCTCATGCCTACACTTGTCCCGTGGATGTGGAAGACGTGTGTGGCGATGTGCAGGCAGGGCTGCCTCCCGGCCCGAAGTTCTTCTCAGTCGCGCAGCTGCTCCAGAGCCAGAGCCAGGCGAACGAAAGGGGGGGCGGAGATGGGCAGATGAGGCGAAGTTTACTCCTGACCCTGAGCTCAGGACACAGCCCCAGCTGAGCCCGATGATCTTCCGAGAATGCCTCCTGCCGTCCTGTCTCCTGCCGAGTGGGCAACTTCCAGCCCATGCCAGGTGGGCTTACTGCTCAAACACGTCGAGCAGTGCCAGTTTGTTCCTGGTACAGGAAGGTTTTGTGGGCATCCAGACTCCACACACGGATTCGGCTTGAAACCTCCATGGTCTACGAAGGGAACTGATCCCCTATTGACCCTATTGGTGTGCCAGGCTTCCCATGGCTTGTCGTTTCTCTATGGGCCGATACTTGTGCAGCAAGACTTTGAGACATTGTGCTTTCTGACATCCGAGCACATGTACGCTCTTGCCTGCGCTTGTTTTTGTTCGTTCTTCATGAGCTGCAAACGCAGAAACCATCCTGGCACTGGTATCCTGGATCTATGTTGAAGAGATTTGGAGAGCCCTTGGTCAGGACCAGCCAAGCTCGGCTTCAGCCCGTCAAGGCCCGCGCCACATCTCTGGAACAAGGCCGAAGAGCGCAGTACTGCTTCGAGCCGTCGATATTCTCTGCAGCAGGACCGCGGCTTTTCAACACTTTGCTGATCTTACCTGCTGAATCAACAGGGCCATGTAAGCGCCCAAGATTGGCTGAGGCCTTTTTCGGATGCGACAGCCCCAGCATCTTGCTTCCCAAGACGAAAAACCTCCCCTTGAAGCGCCGTGTGTTCAAGTCAGTTGAGTTGAAGATGTGGATGGGCTCCGGGCAGCTAGTTTCAGGAATGATGATAATTACTGATGATGGTGCTCATCATCGTCATCCTCGTCATCACCGTCATCATCAGTTTCATCATCATCATCATGATCGCCATCGTCGTAGTTGGTAATTAGGTAATTTTGTCGCTCCATGGGTGCAAGTCGCCGGAACAAGAGGAAAGCACTTGTTGCTCAAGAGTCCTTTCCTGTCCTTCTGTTGCCACAGGAGATAGCATAGAACACACCCGGAGTGTCGATACGATGCAGCAAAGCACAGAGATCCTGCGCAGCTCGGCCGGCACTGCGCATAATTCAGACGGCAGACTTCGAGCGGTTGGTCAGCTCCACCTGCCCGAGGACAAGTGTTCGAGGAACCCCTCAGTGAAGCCATTGGCACGCGACGTCCTACGTCGAGCAGTTCCACACTGGCAGGGCACAAGGCCTGGCTGGGGACGACCAGCAAGTCCAGTCGGAAGAATATCAGAGTGAGGCAACAAGCCATCGCACCAGACTGCCAAGACATGCCTTCAAGTCAGGTGCCACCCTCACTGGCTGACCGCCCCAGTCGAGCTGGCTGGGTCACGCAGCTTGCTGGCACAAGTGCTGGCACATGTCTTCATTTGTCCAAGGGGAATGTAATGCACGGAGTCTGGAGTCTGGAGTGCTTCATGGCTCTCTCGAGGTTTGAAGCACGTGGGGCAGTGAGGCACCCTTTGCCCGAGGCGGCACCTGTACTGCACAATGCATCGTTTCCGCGCACAGATGGGTAGAGCATTGACGCATGCTAAGGAAGCTGTGCAGAACGACGTTATTTCACGGGGATCCCCAGAGCAAGGTGAGCACCCGTCGCAATGGGAAGCTTGCCTGTGTCAGTCGATGTGAAAGCATGTGGACCCGGCGGGCACCAGGTGGTTCCGTTACCATATCACCCGTGCGGCAGCCTTTCACATAAGTAGACTCCGGCTGTCGATCTTCAGCGCCGCCACTTGTCACGAACTTGAGGATTTCGCTTGGCCGGACAGTGTCCTGCAGCCGCCAAGTGAGCCGATGTCAGATAGACATCACTCTCAGATACCTGCATTTAGTGAGGCGTTTTCATGATTGATTGCAGGTATTCCGCAGGAATGCTGGGAACCTGACATGTAGGCTGTTCGACCTAGAGTTCCTGCATTCCCCGTCAATGCACCTGACCGTGGCTCTTGGGGTCGCCATGGATGCAAGCTGTTTGGTGAAAACGGCGAGAACACTGCCTGACATTACATTCATTACATGGCATGGTGGCGAACTGCGCGGGCTTGGTGGCTTGCAGGTTGTCCCCCTGACGACGCCGCAACACGGCACACAGGTGCGATCGGCAAGAGCGCAACCAACACCCGCAACCTCGTGATCGTTCTGCTGCATCTTCTAGAACGTTCGTCCCCATTGAAATCGGACGGAGTGCACATGAAGATGACGTGCCAGAGTTTGCTTCAGGTGGCAGTGCTGCTGTTGTTCGGGACGCTGCGCGCCCAGCAAAGGAGAAGACAGAAAGCCCCAACTTCAGCTCTGAAGCCTGGCACAGGCATTGCCTTCTTGCAGACATACCTTTTCATGCCACGAACCTGGCATGCTCTGGGGCCGTTGAAGCGTACTCTGCTGAACGAAAGCAGAGGCAGGGGTCCTGTCACAATAGAAAGGCTTGCCAAGAAGCTGCAGAAGCCAAGAAAACTGCGGCGGGTACCTTAGACGTAAGCAATGCCAGCTGCGGCTTGCAAGGGGATTCCAGTTTCCAGTGAGCCAGCGATCCCGGGTGCTGCTGCAGTCGAAGCATTCATCTACCTGCCTGTACTGTACTGTAGTCATTCTACAGAAAGCTTGCTTTCCGCGGTTCTCTCTCGTGCTGCGGCCTTCCCAGAGCGCCACAATACTGCACCGAGGCCTCCAAGAGGTCAGGTGGAGCGAGCGCACGATTGACTGCACAGGCAGGGCACAAAATGTGTCATTCTTTGGCTCACTGGGTCTCTGTCGCTCAGGCCTTGAAACCGATCAACACGGTGGTTTACGGAATTCAGGACCGAAAAGGGCCGCTGAGGCCACTGTAAGGGGGCTACAGGAAGCAGCGGCACGCAAGATCATCCGAGGATCTCAGCAGGCCGTCACAGTGTCTCAGCTGCAGCTACAAACCCTATGGCCCTATGAAGGCTCCAATAGGAAGTCTCTAGTTCCGCAGGTCATCGGCTCGTTCGGAGCCCGACGACACGTCACAACGGCCCATGTCTGAGAGCCCCAGCGAGCGCCAACTCCAAAGCATCACTGGTGACCCAGGCAAGTTCGCGGCTTCCATTTCCAAGACCTGACAGCCCCAGCCTGAGCTACGAGGCAGAAACCGGAAGCCCGCAGAGAGTTCCCAGGCAGTTACGGAGCTGGACGATGGTCGGGTGATTGAGTTGCACGGTGTCTCCCACTCAGAGTCTGGAAGACATCCGCGGAGCATAAACTGTGTTTGCTTTCGGTTTCAAGTTGCGAGAGCGGCAAGGACAGCATCAGCGGCACCCTGGCAGGGGTCCTGTGCAAAATCCTGTTCGAGAGCAGCATTTGGCCGGGAAGATGGGGTATCGAATTTGCAGCTGAAGCTAGGCCTTGCCTCTTTTCTCGGCACCACTTGGGCAGGCAGCACGTTTGCTAGCACCGGGTCTTGTTTTTCGTGCAACTTGTTCGGCATGTCCAGCATACTGAGCATAGCTAATGTGCGCAACTCCACTGGCAGGCAAGTCGGGATGCACTGGTATTCGGATTCCGGTCTGCTCTAAAAGATGCAAGGAGCATGCCGAAGACAGCTAGGGACACGTATGTTGCCGGCATGATGCGCATGCCAGTTTGCGTTAAAGGATTGCGTCCTGGTCGACATTTTCGAAGACATTTCGAACGGAAGATCAGCGTTCGAGGCCACGTTTCATTAGTTGCTGACGTCTTTTGCCTTTCCCTGCGTACTGCTACTGGAGCACAGCTGACTCCCTAATACAGGCAAGATGTCGATCGCAGTTGAAGCATCAAACCATCAAACAAAGTGCGCCAGGCTTTTCGAATCGCAGGGCGTGACAACCTCAGTGCACCTGTTTGGCTAAACTGGCGCAGAAGTGTTTCCTACGGCGCGTGTTGAGTTGTGCAGCTGTTGAGCCAGAGAATCTCGGCAAGTGTGCTGGGAGGGCATTCCCTGTGCCGAGCGGGAGCGGGATTGCCTTCCTGCCAATCTGTAAACGGCCACGAAGAGGAAAACAGTCCTGCTGCATCTGCTATCTTCGGGAAGGCCAGCGCAACTTCGGTTTTTCCGTATCAAAAATGCACATCCGCGCTGGGATTCGGGAAGAGGCTACTTGAGTGCCAGACTGACTGCACTTCTCCGTCGCTGGCAGAGAACCGACCCGGATGCCCAACAAAAACGGCCAACCGATGAGAAAGCGACGGCTACAGCGCAACAAGAAGCACAGCCGAGGTTTGCGCCCGCTGACGCACGACGGCTTTTGAAGTAAGTACAGCATCGGGAAAACAGCAGCAGGACAACCTTTCGTCATCCGTTCAGATGCTGCAAAGAGGATAACGAAGCCTGGGGATGGAAGCTGCCCATGAAGATGATGCGAAAGCCGTGCTGTCTCCAGCTTCGGTCTGACTGGACCGGATATGATCTGAGACATGTCATGTGGGCCCATTGATCGCTTGTCTGAGGATGCAGCAGCTGGAGCTGGCTTGCGGAAGCTGGTGGTTTGGGAAGTTGAGCGCCGGAGCCTTGGAAAGCTTTGCAAGGGAGAGCTGCGTCGAGATGCCGCCAGGCAGACTACCCACGGCCTCCGAATGGAAGACTCCCTTCCTCCCAACGGACTGTTTTTTGCTTGACAGTTTCAGTTCAGCAAATCTTTCGTGTCTTGCACTATCCGAAGGATGCTGGACTGACGTGGCGCTGGGTGGACACACGCGGGCTGCAATCTCATCCGGTGGCCCGTGAGATGTGGCTGTGTGAGGAGACTTCTCGCTTTTTCCAAGGCGGCGCCACCCGAACCTGTCACTAGGCATGGCACTTGGATCGTGGCAGTCGGCCTGGCGTGCCCCAGATTTTTGAAACCGAGCCCAAACAGAATCAGGTATTTCATTCGAGTAATCGCAGCAGAGCGGTTTCCGAGAAAGTAAGGGCCCAGGTTCACTTACTCGTAGCAGGATCCCGTTCAGAAGGCGAGAAGCCAGCGATGAAGAAGCAATTTGGCTTGTACGGTGGAAACAAGAAGGCAAATCAATATCATGCACGAAATCTGGGCCCGGATACTTGAGCCAAGCCGAAGCGAAGCACCGCCGACGTACGAAAATCATGCAGAGCAAGTCAGATAGATGTGGCAGTGGATGCGTCAGTACTTTGTTCGGGAGTGTAGGTGTGGTTGAGGGGTCGTGCCGTTCTGTTCCAAGAGACGCAGGGTCGTTGTGGGTCCGTTGGTCCAATCTTGAAGCTTGAGGCTTGACACGTGTGGCCCTCAGCAGTTGCGCAAGTGTCTCTTATACAGATAATCCAGTGCTCTTGGAAGTTGTGACTGTGTATGTTTCCCACGACGGTAGAGACTAAGAAACCTGCGACAAAAGAAGGTTCGCAAGCTGCGGGCAGCAAGACTCCTCCCTGCAGGCGGGGCGAAATCCAGAAAAGATCAATCTTGGAAGATGCTCGATGTTGCCGCACAAGTAAAGCAACTAGAGTACACAACGACAGTGGTAGGACTACGCCTCATTGGTTGGACTACATGTGGTAATCATGCAGCAAGTAGCAGCCGAACGACGATAATAGTGCTCGTGGTGCTGGCGGCTTTGGTTTTCCAATAAGAGGCAGGAGGTCTTCAAAAGGCGAGCAAACTTCGTCGCCAGGATCGGGAGCCTTTATCGGCCTACCTCAGACTGGCAGCTTGAAATCGGTCGGAGCTCGAGCTGCTCACCGCTGTTTTGCACCCTCTTACACCCGAATGAGGACCTGAAACCGACCGTCATGGATGGTCGTATGGCATGGCTTGGAACTCCTCAAGCTGGGAGCGGGTTCTTACCATGAGTTCATGCCTCCATACAAGATTCTCTGCAGAATTGCAACTGCACTCCTTCAGGAGGCGGCTCCTAGCCCACTGGAAGTTTTGCGGCGAAGACGTTGGACGAGGACTCTCTTCCTGCACCGGGAAACTACTCAGCACTTCGAAGCTTCAAGAATTGTCCGGTCTCAGCAGGAGACCTCTGCCAGGCAGGCAGGCAAGAGGCAAGAAAGGTGCATGGATCACGTACTGAATTCCACGGTCCACGCAGTGTCGATCAAGCATCCTTTGCTCGTGACACTCGAACCTCGTATGGGATTCCAATTCCACGGTTTAAACATTCAGACATATGTACCTGCGTGATTCATCGGAACACATCACCAGTACACAGCAGCATTCAAGTGTAGAAGCAGTGCTAGCTGCAACATCATCAGCAGCATGTTGTCTTTGCTGACTTTGCTTGGCAGATCCAACATACTGGATAATGCGAGGACTTTCACTTGAAGACCCAGACTCCGCTGGTCTGCTACCTTGGTGACTTTGGTGGCGGCCGCGTCGACCTCCGGCAAGGCCAGTTTGGCAACCACTTCTACCCACCGAAGTTTGCGCACTCCTGCCGCGGCCTCTGCATCTATGACAGAAGGGAATGGCGAACCCTGTCCTTTATGAGACGCCGTCGAAAAGGAATCAGGGCAGTCGGAAGATATCGGTTGTGCTGATGAGGCGCATCGGCGAGGGCAACAGATCGTAAGATATCGGAAGATATTTTGAGTTCGAAGCCATCAGCCCACTCTGGCTCTGAAGCGTCGAAGAGGCTTTTGCCACGCTGAACACGCAGAGTCCCGAAGAGCGCGAGACGCTCTCTTCGGCCCGGCTGTTGATTGTCAACCCGAGGTTCACATAGCTGACAGCCAGAGCCTGCACCAGTCGGTGCCACCGGTTCATTGAAATGCTGCCAGGTAGCAGGTCCTGCCGGCTGCATCAAAGAGATGCTAGCCGGAGCGTGCAGACTGTGACTATTGACTATAGTTTGGATGCAGCGCTGATAAAGTGATTGTCCTCGCCGGAACAAACTAAACTACAGAACGGGATTGTAAGAACAGTTGTTCATTGTTCAGCAATGAAGAGAGTACCTTTCCAACGGATGCTTACGGGTAGTTTTCGCAGATTCGCGCAGATGAACGAGGGGAAGTATCGGACGATGATGTCGTGACTTGACGGGCAGAGTCAAGCCCGCCTCAGAGAAACGGAAGTGCTCATAGCACTCAGCAAGGCTGTCTGCCATCAAAGCTGAGCCACAACCCGCTGGACTGCAAACACCATACCATACGTACTGGAAGCTGTGACTTGTTCGGTAGTCTTGGGACTCTCGCAGAAACTAGTTCTTGACCGCCCGCCGGCAGCAAATATGAACACAAGTTGAACGATTTCAAGGTTGAGAAGTCCTCCAATGGATCACTGACCAACCATATCAGAGGCCACGGCGGACAGGAAATTACGCTGTTATATTTTGTATGCATGTACATATACATGGCATAAAATACTCTATATATATATGCATATATGTTTGCTTTTTATTTCTTTATATATACACACATATATATATATATATGCGCATTAGTTTGTTTGAAGGTGCTTTTGCACCTCTCAATCGCCTTAGCGGTGCACCGTTGTTTCAGCAAACAGGCAAACTGCAGATGACAAGATCCGACCCTAGAAATTAGGAAGGCGAAGTCCAGTCTCTCGTTCAATTTTCGCAGCATTATTTCATATAGATTTTCAGTTATTAAGTATGTAATACTTACCAGTTTTACTGTGTTAGTCTTAATAGAATTAGGCAGGTAATTAATAATTGTCTATTTTACGATATGGGTCTTCTTCTATATTTTGCCATGTCTATCTATTCTTATTGTGGAGCTTCTCTATATTTACTATATTATTTCTTTCGGTGCTTATATATTCTATTCTATTATATTAATTTCAAGTCTCATAAGAGATTAATATAGAAATTTATTTTATTCTTTTATTTATTCTATAATTCTCTCTTTGATTTAATTTTTTTCTTGCTGCAATTAATTAAAGACTAATTGATATAGAGGACTTTCTTGATTCTAAAAAATGATAAATATATTACGGACGCTTCTTAATTAATATCTTATTGTTCGGTTCTTTTATCGTCTGGGATTCATATATATATTTCGGAATTCTGAATGCTCAATCGAATATAGGTTCATAGAGATATTGATTAAATATTTAATTTCTATTATATCGATGATTTTTCTAAATAATATTCAATAATTTATAGAATTAGTCTAGTATAGTAAGAAAATATAAAATATTTTATAATCGTCTTTATTTTGAGATTCTCGGCGGTATCTTAAATACGATGGCTTTTAATAGGTAGTGAGCATCTGAGGCACATATGGTCTACTTCTAGAATGATTTCATCTTATAAAGTATGATTTAAATTCTAGCAAGTCATTATCTTCTATAATTTTCACGTATAAGGAAATCATAATATTTAATATTCAAAGAAAATTGATTTCGAATCTCTTCTCTTATAATTTTATTTCTGGTTTCATCTCTTGAATTCTTATTTCTCTGAGGTATCGAAAGGGAATAGTTATTTCATCTAAATCTCTATATAATGATTTATTTTTATTTCGTATATTGAAGATAAAGCATTTCGATTCTATAGTATGAGCGATTATGATTACTAGACGGACTTTTTTTCGCACATATATTTTATTTCTGGTTCCGGTACTTTATATCATAAGGCTTATATTAGCTATGAAGTTTTCGACTAAAATCGATTCTTCGTTCCAAGCGCTTAGATAGATCTCCTTAATGCTACGGGTATGAGATAGGTCGCCGCCCCCTTCTGGTCGACTTTTACGCACAGCTCCCCCCCCCTCCCATCCCTCGAAACTCAAGCTCAGGGTTTAGAATTTAGGTTCAGGGTTTGGAGGGGGAGAGGGGAGGAGGGAGGTGGGGAGGTTTATATTACCATATGTCCATAAATTAATCCTTTCGTGGTTATGGTGCAATAGCTGAAATCAAGCCTTGGTATGGTTTTATTCAATTCTTCTCGATAAATTTGAGAATTTCGTATCTTATCGATATATAATGTCATGCTAATAGGTCTTGCTTCGGTCTTTGCCAATATGTAGGTTTTATCATTATTCTATATTCCACGCTTTTGACTAGGTTTCCCCGACATTTGAAGTCTTTTTGATCGATTTTTAAGGCTGAAAACGGGATTTTTGCAAGTTTTGAAGTATGGGAATATTTCTTGAGGATGTGAGTGCCAAGACCGAAGCAACTTGATTAAGCATGATATAGGGCCTAGACTCGAATTGCAGAGACCATGCCAGGGATTTGATTATTTTGATACTCGACAGCCTTGATATGAAGGCCAACGAGCTCAAGCATTGCAAGTATATGCTATCTATCTGTACTCTGCCAGATAACCCCTATATCTTCCGACGTCTTGAACCTTCAGCTCTGATAAATATTATGATGAATAGCCGCTTGCTGCTAGCTAGCTGCTAGCTTCAGAGAAGCCTGAGATATGGTCTCCATCGATTGGACCAAGTGGTTAGACCGGGGTTCGTCACTATAAGGAACAGCGAGGCAGGAATCTATCGGCATAATATCAATAATATATCTACTAACGTGCCGTTCGATTCAAATCTAAGGACCCAAGAATTCTAAATTATTTAGCGCTGCCATGCTCAATTTGTAGCTCCGAATCATAAGTCCCTCAAGTCCTAGCTTTCAACAATATATCCTAAATAGAGAGGTGTGCTCCTAAATCAATCGATATGAGAATGCGAGGAACTAAGTACTATTAGTTATAATAAAACTAATCGCCAAATTCCTAAATCCATATAAAAAATATTTCTAAGAAATTTTTATTCTCCAATTAATCGCCGAATTAATGAGAAATTTATATAATTATTTAATTCAAAAAAAAAATCTATCGACCAATTATTATCCTAAAATATTCATAATATTTTTCATTTTAAATTATGACAAATTATTTTTCACTATTATACTAAAGAGAAAATCTAAAATTTCAATAAAATAAATCTCGATAATTAAAAAATATATTTAAATATATTTAATTCATTTTCATAACAAAAATTCCTATAATACTAATGATTTAGTTTTATATAATTATTTCTATATATTCTTCCAGACAAATTTTTATAATAAAAATTTATATATATTAATCATGTAAATTATAAATATAAAGTCTTTTTTCTTTTATATTTCAATTCTACTAGTAGAATAATTAATTTAATTATAGAAAATAAAATAAATTCTTATAGAATTAAATTATAATTTAATAATGAGAACCAAGAAATTAATATGAAAAAATTTTAATTAATAACTACTAATTTATCAAAATTAAGGATACTAGAAATAATATATAAAAAGCTCTAATATTTGACGATATTATAATAATTTTGAAAATCGACTATAGAAATCTTAGCCCGTCGACGATAAATTTATCCAAAGAGATATAATAAATAATGAAACTTATATGTATAATTCTATCGGAACCAGAACCAGATAATTATAACGGCTATAACCGAACCGAACCCTTTTTGAAACCGCAAATTTAAAATAGCCCGGCACTACTATTGAGTCCGTAGTCAAATTCATTTACCCGGCATGCAACGACTCCAAAACCGTCACTTATCACTAAACTCATCCCAAATCCACCCGATCCTTGGGATAGAGAATACCTTCCGACCACGATTCCCACATGAGGATATTACAAATACAATTATCACGAGGATACCGTTCCCAACAAGCCCAGTGCCTAAGGAATTAACGCAAGAAAAAAGTAAGATTGTGATAGTAATGAGACAGGCCCAGTTCCTGGAAGTGAACCCCTCAAGCAGACGCATGCCCCGAACCAAGCCGACCCAAATCCGAACCACACCACAGGGAGGCACCGCAAACACACCCAAACATATCCAAACCCTGAACCACGCCACAGCACAAAACCCCCAAGCAAACCCAAACCACCGACAATGATGATGCTGGTGATGCCAAACACCGTAGCGGGACCCCAACCGCGAACCACGCCACCCCACGAGGGGCCGAACCACACCACAGGGGCGGCGGGAGAACCACGGGGGCGAGGGAGGCGATCATGTATGGCAAAAGTTTCCAGCAAGAATATCGACAGAACCTTCCACTAGTGATTTTGGGGAAGGATGTACACTGTCGCCGTTGCGGTCAGGCAATCAAGTTGGGATCAAAGCCAACTCTAGCCTCTGCCATATCTCGATCCAGGAACGATATTCGGTCCATGTCCCCACTTGACAACTGAAACTTGGTGTCCAAATTCTCTGCGAGACGCTGCCGCGAGCGACTGAACACCATAGGTAAGATGTTCTTTTGCAGCAACCAGCGGAGCACCACTTGCGCGGTGGATTTCTGATGCGTGGCAGCAATGCTCTTCAACACCTTGTCTTCCAGGAGATTGAGCTCTCCGTGCGCCAAAGGAGAAAATGACTGGATTTGAAGGCCCTTTTGCACGGCAAATTCGACCAGCTTAGTCTGCTGGAAATACGGATGGATCTCAGTTTGAAGCACAGAGGGTGGCTCGCGGCAGTACTCGAACATCTCCTTTAAGTGCCTTCGGGTGAAGTTCGCAACGCCAATGGATTTGGCTCGGCCACTGGATTTCGCCTCCTCCATCGCATGCCAAGTTGTTTCTCGGCGCTTGCGATTTGCACTTGGACTCTGCAGGGCATCGTTGGCTCCGGGGAAGTGCATGAGAAGCAAATCCACATACTCGGTGTCCAACCGCTTCAGCGACTCCAGGATGGCCTCTGGTGCCTTCTCACCCATATCATCAAACCAGATCTTCGTAACCAGAAACACATCCTCTCGCTGAACTTGCGATTCACGCACTGCCTGAGCAACTTCAGATTCGTTGTCGTAATGGCTCGCAGTGTCTATGACACGATAGCCCAGCTGCAAGCCATTCAACACTTGTTGAAAGCTGTCTTGACCTTTGAGACAGCAAGTGCCCAATCCAATACCCGGAACTGCTGACAAGCTGGGAGCACTTGCAGCAAGAGCTTTGCTAGCACCAACAGTTGTGCAAATCACACTGGCTCCCAAATGTCGTCTGCTCTGGAAATTAGTGCTTCTCCTCTTGACCCTCGTCCTCGCCTTCATGCAACCGATTCCCATGTATAACGCCGTCAGTCGTACCTCGCTGGTACGTCGGCCACGTCCATGCAAAAAGCGGCTGAACTCTGGCCCTGCCACTCCGAGTGATGGCAGCGCAACGGGGCTGCAATGGATGTGCTGAGGCTGAGACAATGCCATGTTGGCCTTTTTCCAACCCTCTGCGGCAAAGAGATAAACAGACCACTACTAGTTATGCATCATAACGTCTAGCGCTCGCTCTCTGATGCTCTTTGGTTGGTTACAGGTACTTCAGCTTGACGTAATGTCTGAATTTATCATGCGGGCCCAAGCGGGCCGTCACAGTTGCCGGAATTTACCAGGTTTGCGCACACGAACCTTTCGCTGCTCTGCTTTGCAACGACTCTGACAGGATGAGACGATTAAATGAACATGCTGGCGGTGATGATCAGCCGGATGAGCAGTCTCTCGGGCCACAGGAACAAGCAACATGCTTCAAAACTTGCACACTGCAGCGCGGATAGAGCTCCCCAAAACCAAGGATAGGGCAGCACGAATAGTTTGGGCAAACTACGAGGACTGTCACTGTCGAGAACCAAATGCTTTATCCAGTCACATCTCCCTTCGGGGGCAAGCTTTCTGGCTCGGGGCTCGTCTAACATCATAGAAACAGTCGGCATGGCAGCTCCTTTCGATGCTCGGTGGAGCTCGTCGAGTGAAACAGTCTAAGCAAACTTGCATTGATGAGCACGCTGGGAAGGAAATTCACTTCGACTGTGCGGCTCAGCGAATCTCTCAATGCTCGAGTACAACTAATTGGGCATATTGGGCATTGGGGTCGTGCCGCCACCATGAGGCAAAGTGCCCTAGCAGCGATGTCGGTGCATGGATGCTGCAACTCAATACCTAATCTCATGACCGAGCTAGGAGATCAAGCCGAGGAGTTCGACGAGATTTTAGTGAAAGGCGATCACACCACCGTGCGTGGTGCTAAGATCGTGCGACAGAAGGCCAGCGCAGCACCGCCGGTTGTTCGTGGTAAAAGGTTCGCACTCACTCGGTCACAAGTCTGTCGTTCTGCCTCGGGACGTGAAGTGACAACGCAAAGCAGAAGTTGCTGCTCACGTGGCATGAAACTAAGGTAGTGGCTCGTCATGCATGTTTACAGCCTGCATGCCTTGAGGCACAGGCGGCGCAGATTCCTTGGCGATGGAGGGAGCTTGAGTACACGACTGCGAAAGCTAGAGCTGCCTTGTCAGGCCAGAATCGATTTCGATTCAAGCCGGCAGCCCTCGAAAGTGCGCACCGACTCGGGACCGACTGAGTCCTGGGCGCTTTCGTGGGCGTCCTTGGCCTCACATTCGGCACGTCTGAGGTCTGCATGTCAATGGATCAATTTGAGGCTTGCGCTGGGCCAGGGCACATTGATGGTGAGCAAGTAGGGTACAACCTCCACTCTCCATGTCAAACAGCCGCAAACATTAAGCATTGAAGTGCTGCCAAGCCACCCAAGCATCGACCAAGTATTGGCCTGCAACAGTCTGTCGCTGTCTTAGCTGCCAAGCTCTGAGGACGATGCTCAGTGCATGCCTGCTGCTGAGGCGGCTGGGGAGGAGGATCCTCCGGGCAGACTGGATCCGATCTCAGCAGGGTGAGGCCCAAAACCCTCTCCGGACGGAGGAGGAGTCAAAGGACAGTGCAGGGGAAAGCAAGTGAAAGTCCGACAGCGTCCTCCGGCGGCTCATGCTTCCGAATCATGTACCTTCCGCACTTAGGCTTTGACTTGCGGGGACTTGAAAAAAGCTGCGAGCTGGAGCTGCAGCCACACCAGGGTCCCAGACCACTTGGCCCAAGACCAGAAGTAGTCCACCGTTGCATCCACGGCACCGACCCTCGTGCTGGCCTCGTCACGAAGCCCAGCGCTAAGCTCTGAGAAAACCCGCAGAATGGCAAAGTCTGCAAAGACACCTCCAAGATGCCCAGGATCCAGTCCGGGAACGGTCTAGGAGCCTGCAAGCCTCAAGAAGTCAGAGCTGCCGCTGCAAGTCACGATGCAACGCTTCCACTTGCTGGGCTATTTGCGTCCAGCCAGGTGCTGGGCGAAGGTTAAGCAGTTGCGGTGTGTGAGGTGGTACCTGGGTGCTCTCTTGCGCAGGCAGACGTGGGCAGACACAAAGGCAACCTTCGCAGCTGCAACCGCCAATAAGACTTGATCTTTTGCGGCTTTAGAAGCTTGTACGTAAGCAGTCTGCGAAGAGCCGTACTCGTGCAGCAACTGAGTGGGTGACGTGCTGGCCGAGTATTCATCGCACAATGTCTCCAGTAAGTCGTCGACCTTGCGCAGTGCTTCTCCTGAGCCCTGTACGAATGTAAACCCATGCCTAAATCTCAAACGTTGAGGCCCAAAACCCGCCTCCAATTCGCTCAATGAAGTGGGGCCAAGATTCAGCGACTCTTGATACTCATAGCCTGAGAGCTCAGGCAGCAGAGCTATTGATCAAACGAGCATGTGAAGCATGCTAGTGAGGAGTGCGATTACTACGGTGAGTACTGGTACGCATAGTACGAAGGACTACCATAGACCGCATGAGACAAAAAGCTTCGATATGCCAGCAGCATATGGTTGAAATTGATCAACTCCACTGTCCACAAGCAACTGCGAGAAACCAAGCCTCCCGCCGCTCATCTGCTTCGGGGCACATCGAATGATGCCAGAAATCGTGGGGTCATTCCACGTGTCTTCAAAGTACTGAAACGACCACTCCTGGCTCATCAAGGTCAGGAGGGCGGCTCCCACCCTTTACAAGAATAACATCTGGTCAGGTCTCAGCCGCAGACACATGATGAAGCGTACAGGGTGTCTCATGCAAGTAATCTAGACTACACTGCACGGCGTCGCTTTTTATGTTGTCGGAAGTTGGATATGGTTTGGGCTTCACCCTGCCTCCAATTTCGGCAGAACATTGCTGATGCCGTGCTCTTATGATCGCACCGCATCCGAAGGTTTGCATCGAAAGGCTGACCCGCACAGCCGTCTAGCAGCTGGAGTGGGGGCCTCGCCGTAGACTTCGATCCCGGCATGATAGATGCCTGTGCCGTGACTTCGTGTATCTGTTGTCTGCTATGAGTCGATCCACATCTCTGTAACGAGACTCCAACCATTATGAGTTATAAGTATAAGTTCTAATTACCCTCTGTGATTGCCACTGACGTTGCTACTCCGCACAGAGACACAAAGACGAGTTCTCGCCGGAAGTGCTGCAGGCCCCGCCTATTTCAGAGTTCTTCAGCAGCATCCTGCATGTTAATGTCTCCGAACACATCGCAACGGCCACATGCAGCAGCGCAAGGTTTGCAATGCCTGCCTGTTCAGAAAGCCGGTGTATGGGTCGCAGTGATAGACATGAACCCAAACATCTGACAGGGCGAAAAGCATCGCAAAACATGCGCGGGCTCTGCACGGATAACCCAGATGACGATGGATGGCCTTTTGGATTAGGGCTCTCGGGCTCACCGCCATCACCCGTACCGTTTCCTTCACGTTCACCTGCCAGGTGACCCCACAAGCCACAACCCTTCCAAGGCCTGCGGTCTTCCGCCATAAGCACATCAGCGGTGCCTGACCCCAGGGGAAGACAGGCCTGACAAAAAAAGGAAGAGCGTGGCCGGGCAGGATGGCATCTCGCTTGGGATGCCTCTCTGCTGCTCATGCTGGCAGCTGCATCTTGAGGCCTGGCAGTAGCTGATCTTGCACTTGCATCACCCAACACCACTGAACTGACCCCAACAATCTAGCTGGGGAAAGGACTCTCGGGACGAGGTCTCATCTGCAGCCTCCCGTTGGAGCAACAAGTCATGTCATCCTTCAATCTGCCAGCCCATGGACTTAAGCTCGAATTCTCAGCACCGGACGGCGGAGTTCATTCGCTCAGAGGAAATTCCCTAGTGCAGTTCCTAGCAGAACTTAGAGAGTGGCTGTTGACATGACCTCTTTGTCGTTGACCTCTGTTTGCTCCAGTCTTTGGTATCCTCTGGCTCTCGACCAGTATCGTCCGGGAGTGGTTCGGTGTTGGGTTGGCTTGTGCTTTTGTCGGGTGACAGACTGATAAACTAGATCGTGCGGTGGACGACAAGGCCAATATACTAGTGCTGCGGTGCAAGGGCAGGCGTCTGCATGGAATACTTACGAGCGGCGAGACCCTGAACTGCGACATTAGATGTGCGCACATCGTGGGACAGGCCTAGTGACAGCTGAAAAACCAAACATGTCGACACAGCAGCAGACTGTTTTCCGGAAAAACGCTTCCGCAAGCTGCGAAAAGTGAAGCCGGGGTTGCTTTGACTCCCAGTGACACGGCAACTACAACATGCTGTCGATACAAAGCAGACTGGCAATCTCCTTGATGCTCCGATGCCCAGCTCAGAACAGCGCTGGGCCGCGTATGTCTGCGGACAGGGGTTCAGAGTACCTGCACATTAACAGCAACATGTAGAGCCAACAAACATGTGGTTAACCGATTTTCACAGCCTTGACCAAGTTGGCCATGGCCCCATAGACTAGACGAAGCAGCCGTAAGACCATGGGAGTATGAAAACGTAAGGCCTAATCACCACTGTAGTGCGAACGAGGTATGCCGTCGTCCGAGCAGCACGAGCAACCTGAACCACAAGCGTTCAGAGTCAGAGCACCGAGGCTTGACCCAGGCCGGGCAGGATCTTGAACAGATGCCGCTCATGCACACGCATCGTATGGCACATGCCTTGTGACAGCTGAAACGGCGCAACACGTGGACAATGCCGCAGGCTGATTGGAAAAATGCTTCCAATAGTGGATCCGGGGTTGCTTTGACTCCCAGTGAAACAGCGAACTACAGCATTCTACACTGTTACAGTTGAAACGAACGACTCCGCGGCTAGCGCCAACTGCCAATACACTTGCGGTGGTTTCGTCTTATTCCATTCTCTGATGCCCTGCTAGGCCAAATCACTGTCGGTACTGCTTTCTGACTCCTGGCTCACGGGAGTTTCGAGTGACTTGACATCAGCATCAAGACGCAGACGTTTTGGTGGTACTTGCATTACTTGCGGAGAAACTCCACAAGCCTCCAAAGGCATGCGTAAGCCATGGAATCGAGGTTGCCCGGGCGTCCGTTTGCAGAATCCGTTGATCAGAAGGACCTGCTTTTGCAGTTGTCATACTCTGCTGCCCCATACTCGGAAATATGAGGAGTGAAAGGCTCGAGACACACCAAGACCCGGGCTGCGATTGCCAGAAGCCAACACAAGCCACCGGCATAAAGCAAGAAGTTACCTTTCACAGCATCTTCCGAGTGGTGAGAGTGACACAAGGAAGGCATGTAGAATTCAAGTGCCGAAGCCCTCGTACTGAGGTCACGGCTTAAAGCTTCGGACTTGCCACCAAGAGCGCTTGGGCTCAGCAGTACCTGGCCACACGTAACGGTGCGGCAGTGCCACGCAGCGAAGGTGCAGCATGACAGAGAGGCTTCCAGCTCAGGCGGGCACAAGGGTTTTTGTGACGTTAAGATGAGACACGGGGTACCTGATGTTTGACAGGTGCACTGCCCTTCAGCGCGTTGTTGTGACTGCCTGTCGTGGATGTGCAGGGTCAGCATCTCGCTTTGGAGAAGTCCAACCTTGACTCAGGATGGCAAGTGCAACTTCGTTGCACAACACGGCTGATACGTGCTATAGGGCACTGGCATCCACCTGACCGATATCCTTCAGGAGGCTGGGCATGGCACTGGGCCTGCAATCCGAGGAAGCATGCAGAGATACAGAAGTGCATGTGCGCGCCCGGATAGTGAGATTCTGATAATGAGCCTCATCCATTCAACGAAATCCGGATCCGTGGTGCCCTTATCAATTGAAATCACCTGTGCGAAGACAAAGGCTACTGCTCAGATTCTTGCCCAAGTCGCTTCTTAACTTGCAGCCAGTCTATTGCTTTTGAGGTATGGAAGTGCAGGCGACAGCACAGGATGTGTGGCTGTGTGCACGCACTCCGAATCGTGGCACCACTTCAACGAAGCTCAACACACGTGCCCCGCAGTACAGCGCACCAGAATCATCGCCCTGTTTGTCGATGTGCCTCAGGGAAGCGCTCGTAGAGCCAGGCCTGACTGCTTCGCCAGGAACAGAAACCAGGATTGTCGTCAGTCCGCGTGGTGGCAGTAGTAGTGGTAGAAAAGTCGTCGTAGTGCAGCTAGCTGGCAGTAGGTAGTAGAAGATAGTAGAACCTGCTACGTAATAGCTCGTCGTGAAAGTTAGTCAGTAGGGAAAGTTAGTGGTAAGCAGCAGAAGTAGCAGTAGGAGGAGTAACAGTAACAGCAGCAAGAGCATTAGCAGCAGTTCTAGCAGTAGTAGCACCAACCGCAGTACCAGTAGTAGCAGTAGTACTGTGGCAGCAGCAGCAGCAGCAGGAGTAGGAGTAGGAGTAGTAGTAGTAGTAGTAGTAGTAGTAGTAGTAGCAGTAGCAGTAAGAGTAGCAGCAGCAGCAGCAGCAGCAGCAGCAGTAGTAAGTAGTAAGTAGTAAGTAGTAAGTAGTAAGTAGTAAGTAGTAAGCAGTAAGTCGTAAGTAGTAAGTAGTGAGTAGTAAGTAGTAAGTAGTAAGTAGTAAGTAGTAAGTAGTAAGTAGTAAGTAGTAAGTAGTAGTTGGTAAGTAGATTAGTAAGTAGTAAGTAGAAAGTAGATTAGGAAGCAGTAAGTAGAGTAGTAAGTAGCAAGTAGTAAGTAGTAGGTAGTAAGTAGTACGTAGTAAGTAGTAGGTAGTAAGTAGTAGGTAGCAGGCAGTAGGCAGTAGGCAGTAGGCAGTAGGCAGTAGTAGTAGTAGTAGTAGTAGTAGTCGTCGTCGTCGTAGTCGTAGTCGTAGTCGAAGTCGTCTCGTTGTAGTCGTCGTGAAGGTAGTGGAGTAGCAGTAGTAGTCGTCGTCGTAGTGGTTATGGAGGTGGTGGTGGTAGTAGTAGTAGTAGTAGTAGTCGTCGTCGTAGTAGTAGTGGTAGTGCTAGTGGTAGTTAGGTAGTAATAGTAGTGGCAGTGGTAGTGGCAGTGGTGGTAGTAGTAGTAGTAGTAGTAGCAGTGCCAGTAGCAGGCCTGTGGCCCGTGCCCCTGCCATTTCTGGGATGGAAGGCTCAAGCTATGTTGGTAGTTGTCTGAGTCTTGTGCCCCCATGCCCCCGTCTATGGCCGGGCGAGCATGAGTTCACTCTTGTTCGTGCTGCTCGCTTGAATTCTCCAGGAACGACATAGGCATGAATACCACCAAAGGCCTGGCCCAGTTCAACTTTGCTTCAATGCGGTCACTGCTCCAAGCAAAGAGACCGGAGTTCAGAGGCTTTTGTTTGCTCCCAGGGGCGAAGGTTCACCGACATACACACCGCTCAACCAGGTCCGCGGGCTTGTGACGTGGCGTGCAGAAAGGACAGAAGGGTGTTGTGCAACTGGCGAGCTATTGCAATCTAGCACATTGACATGACAGGCACACATGCAAATATCATGAGCATAACATCCCAGCTGCCAGGACACTCCTAAGTTTCGGACAACCTTGGACCTGTCGGGGTAGTTCGGTGGATTAGCCATCCTTGACCAGTTTGGGAGCACCGTGCAGACACTGGCAGCGCAGTCAGCAGCCCACCTGCTACGATCTTCCGGATTGCCGACACCGTCTTTGCTGATGTGGAGGACCTGCACAGATCTGAAGCGAAAGCCGGCATGGCTCCCTCGGCAGCTGTGGCGCAGGCAGCTCCGTTTCGCCGCAACCTCGCAGGTATGCTGACAGATGAAGTGTGTGTTGCAATCTGCAGGACCATACTTTTGTTTATGTCCCAAGCTCGAAGGTATCGTTGAAAAGGCTTGTGGCCTCGACCAGTGCGTCTTTTAATGCTCGCGGAACGAACGCGAGTACGGCTACCTGCAAGCCGCAGGGGAAAATTACGTCGCCGGTCTCTGTCATTCTTGTGGACGCTTCGGGACAATGCCTTACTTTGTCATCAGGCGTTTTGATGAAACAGTCCTCGAACTCTCGCTTCCAGCTGGGCTTGCAGCTTCTGCCGCTCGTCATGGCCGAACCACTTGCCTCCACCAAGCATTTCTTGTGCCCCGGCCGCTGGGGGCGGGAAATGTTTGGCGAATCGGAATGCCTTCATGCCCCAAGCCGGCCTGTCAGCTCTCCCCATGCACCGGAGGTAGAACCTGGTCCAGCAAGGTCCACATCTGTGCGAGCAAGTCCGCTGATTTGTGCTGGGGGCCTGAAGCAATGTAGGTCGGGAAGTTCTGGTAAAACCTTGTTGACTCGAGTCAACGCGCGAAGGCCAGCAGGAAAGATGAAACTCGCAGGGCGTATTCAAGTCAACATCAGGCATCATGGATGGCGTGAAACCTTGTCAGCCAAGAGGCGGATCGAGATGGTAAAGCACACGAACTGGTGGAGGCATGTCCTCGCAAGCGGAAAGTTGCCCCGTAGAGCCCTAGACCGACGTGGGGATCTGGGGTAGCTTGCTGTCCTGGCTCAAGGAGACTTGCATGCTGCAGGTGCCAGATGATACATCGCAGTCGGCCATGTGCTCAACCTTTTCGTGCTGGGCTTCTGGCAAAAGCTGAAACTGTCGTCAGTGACGCCAGCCAAGGCGACCGCGACATCTGCTCGCATCTGAAACGGCACTGAGCCAGTGCGCGCCGCACCGCCATAGCGAATCCGGATCTGGACAAGGTGGCCAAAGGCATCCATGATTACTCCATCCTCTACACCAAAGCGCGCTCTCACGGATGAGCTCTGCAATGTCGCCTCAACCGCGTGCTCCCCAAGCTGCAAGACGGTGAACCCCAAAATCAGCAGCAAACTGCCCACAACAGCTGCTGCCCCCATGACCTCGTCAGGCTGCGGAACGGTATTCCCGAACAAAATGAATCCCACGCTGCAGCTCACTTCACTTCTACCTTGGATCTGTGCCTTGCCCGGGGTGAAGTCGATTTGAATGCGAGGCAGCTGTTGCTGAGCAAAGCGAGAACCTCAGGAGTCGCGTGTACTTAGAGCCGCGACTGCAGGCGTGGCCCTTTGCGGCTTTCGGCAGGGGCCCGGGGCGGAGGGCTGAAGGCTTACAGGATTGCAAAATGTCACAAAAAGCGCACGTCGTCCCACGTCACAGCACTCTCGAGATACGAGACGTCAAACTGAAGCGCTGGCGGTCAGGGGAGTTCTGGTTGTGAGCCTCAGCGGCACGAAGAGACCCGCAGATACCCAACCGCAGTGCTCTCAAGTTGAGGCGACTGCCAAGCTGCCTCCCAGCGACTCCTACAAAATTACGAGGAGTACGGTGAACTCTCCGTCGGCTCTTCCGGTGCGTCGGGCCTCCTCGGACGAAGAGTCGCTTTCCTTGCCGGAGTGAGCCGATACCACAAGATGCAAGGCATGCGAGGCGAGATGCAGTCGCTTGGACAAGAGTTTGCCGCCTGCAGAGAGGGGAGCTGCAGCGCCGTGGTGCTCGAGGCACTTGTGGCCGTGACACCAGTCGCAGTCCTCTCGAAGCCAACAGTCACCAGGCTCACTGAGGCGTCTGATCATTGCTCCTCCTGTAGCCATCCACCGGCTCTGATGCCTCAGCCCAGGATGCAGCTTTGTGCCACAACCGCTCTCACAAAGCGCGCGCAAGCAGGCGTGCGAGTAGGCCCCGCGCGCCAACCAGGGACAGATCTCCGGCTGTGGGGTGCGAATTGACGAAAGCGCTGTGGTGCCTTCGAGCCGGTCAGGTCGAGAGGACTGTCCAGAACGTCCGGAGCCCGCTGGACCGCTGGAGCCTAGTAAGCCTATAGGGGCCTCACATGGCCTGGCAGCCTAAGCCTCGATGTCTGTAATCTCCCCGGGCCTCGGCTCGCCACCCGGATGAGCGAAGTCGTAGGAGGACCTTGGTGGCGGGGGGAGACCCAGGAGCGAAAACAGAAACTCAAGGGTCTACGGTGGCATCCGACTGTCCGCCGAAGGTTGAGAATACAGACAGTCCAAAAATCCCAAGACGATCAAAACGGAAGGCAAACGCCGAAACTTAATGTGTGACGGCCTTCGTCGAGATCCCCGCAGAATCGATGTGCAATGCTGTCTCAGCACCGGTACTAGTAATGCCCTCTAAAAGAGATCTGCATGCGGCCGGAGCATGCGCCTGAAACGGGTGTTCAAATCAGGACTAGACTAGATCCCCGTTGCCCATCGGCCATGAAACGCCACCGCCACGCTTCACTCTGCCGTGTCCTGGTGGTTGAGCTTTAGCGACCCATGGACACAGCACCGCGAGGATGCAGATGGCTCCCACCCCCAAGGGCCGGTGAGTACCGGCTACGCACGAGAAGCGCACCCAACACACGCGCGCACTGAGCAGAGATTCACCTGACAGCAACGGATGAGCGCGACGGTACTTTGGGGGGAACCCCACCGGTTTTGGGGTGCGGTGCCCTCGGCCCAGACTTGCGCTCGCGCACCGCACGACTCCGGAGACCCCGAGCGACTGCTAGGCGATTCTGCTGAAAAGGTTTTTAGCCTCCTCGTTTCCTGAGAACAAATCCAACAACGCAGAGATGCCCAAGTTTCGAGCCATCTTTGGAATCGGGGTCTTGGTGATGACCTGTCCGTGATCCTATTTCTAGGCCTCATCTGCAATCGACACGAGAAGAATCAAGGCCTGGACCGCTGAGAATCGGCCGGTGGCGATAAGCGACCAGGCCAGTCTGCCGGAGCCTCTGCCTCCCGAGGAAGGTGAGAATCTGTTTTCTGCCCGCTGTCTGCTCTCAGGACACGACGGTACTACGACTATTGTGGTTTGCAGACATCAACAACCCTTGCACCTACCTCTTCCTCATTCGAGCGCTCCTCTTCAAAGAGGCACTTGTCTTCCTGTACAAGCGAACCCCGCACCCTTTTCGAGATGGCCACTGACTGACTGGCCTTCCATCGCTCCATGATGATCTGCGAGCCTGCGACCGATACGACTACCAGAAGGCGCAACAATTGCACCAAGCAGTAGTATAGCACAACGCATTCTGCAAGATGCTACTGTAAGATAAGCACCGTACTTCAAAGGATCCGAGTACTTCAAGACAAAAGCAATTGCAAAGACAGGGCTGCAAGTCGAGATACCGTGGCTGGAGATCGCATGAACGCGGAACGAATAGTCTTGACGGCATCTTGCTCTGCGTGATGCTCGGGCGGAGAGATGTCCTCTAAGCGTTCCCGAAGAGCTGAGTGTCAAGCGATCTGGGCAGAACTCGGTCAGCAGGTACGCCTCCGCGGTTTCACATTCACACGTTTCTGTGCTTGTCGCCTTTTGGAACTTTTGGCGAGTACCCTCACTCGACGCTCACTTGCAGATACCTTGAAGACATCGATGACCATGGCAAGAGCTGGCACAGTAAATGCGCAGATCCTGGGCCACCGGTAGAGGCAGCGTGCTCTTCACCCAACAGCTGCAGAATCATGCAAAAGCTTAAGGCATGCGCCAGAACTGAGGGCTGCTCATCATGCGGCCGGGGACCTGAGAGGCTGGGACAGACGCAAAGGCCCCGACCAAGTGATCCAGCAGGGTGCTGCGAGGATAAGCTGCGCACGCCGTACATCCAAGGCCTCATGGCCAGCCGTGCCCCCAGAAAGACACCATCAAGGTAGTTCTCTACATTGGGGTCCCGTTTTGGGTCCCCAATATAGTACGACACCCATATAAAAAGGATACCAAAACGGACCCTAATTTAGCGAACTACCCATCAGCAGAAGCAGAACATCAGGGCAGCCGACTGCAGCTTGTCACTCACGGATTTGCAGCAGTAGACGGCAAGGAACAACCTGAGCCGAGCACAGGAACTCCCCAGCTCACGCAAACGGGGAAACGACGTTTCTTTCATGCATCAAAATTCCGGGTTCGTGGAGTCTTGGAAGCCAACGCGGCAAATCATGACCGTAGAGAGGACAAACCACATGAAGATGAGCCGTATGGACAACATAGCCTCTGATTTCTGCAGGCGCGACACGCGTAGATCAAGAAGGAGCAGAGCTGCCCAGCAACTGTCACCACGTTCCAAGTCCTTCCGCAGGCTGCAGGCTTGAATATGCTTCATGACCCACAGCTGAAAGTCAGGTGAATGAAGGAGCTTGTTGCAACACTGGGAAGACCGAGAAGCCAGTCTATCGTTGAGAAAAGATCCTTGTCAGGAATGCCGCTCGGTAGTTCATCGCGATCACAAGAACGGTGAACACCTGTGTGGCTCGGCAATGCTTGGGTTTTAGACGAGGCGGCCAAAGGTCAACTGAATCTCGCACAGAAGAAGACAAAAAGAGAAAATGACCTAGGTTCCAGGTGCACAGACTGGCAAGCGAGGCACAATCGTGCCGAAGGTGTAGAAGTCACCAGCTTTCAGGACATACATGTCGTGGCAAACCAGGAGCATTACCTGAACGATTAGAGGGAAAGGCGACATCACTCGAAGCTAGCTGCTCTTAGGTGTCGGACAGTGCCGATCACGCAGGAATGGACTGCTGCAGACAGAAGCATCTCAACCTCACACATGACGTGTGAGAAGGAGATGGTTCTGACAAAGACACCCGGGTGGCCGGTGTTCGCACCGTCCCCGTCATGCACCGAGGCCGGCACAAGTTTGGATGCATTGAGGTCAAGGCCTGGCTTTTACGAGGACCGTATGGAACAGGTCAGATTCGTAGATAGCAGGTCTAGGCAGGTCGATCGAGACGTCTAGCCGCACAAGTCTTCGGAGTTTAAACCGCTCGACGATGGCCTTGGCCTTGAACCCCAAGTTGATTTGGCCGGAGTTTGTCGGGCCGCCTTCGCGTCCATTCACATAGAGTGCAGGATTGGCCAAGATCTGCTCTTCCTCCAAGTCCTCACGGAAACAGCCAAGTGCTGAGATGCGGCATTTTCTTCAAATATCGCAAGGTACCAAACCGGCCTGCTCGAACATGCCAGTCGTAATGATTGGAAATGCCAGTACGAAGTTGTACGAAGCTCGCACCTTTACAACTACAAAAAATAAGCTGAGAGCTGAACGAACGTTGATCGGATATGCTGAAGTGCATCTGAGCAGCCATGTCTTCGAAAAGGCTTTGACCTGTCACAAGACAAAGCATGGCTTAAACTTGGGCCAGCGAACTTTCCTTCGTCAGCGACTGCTCGCAGGACGACTTTCAAATCGGATTGGGGCGAGCTCTCTTGATTTTTCGACTTCCGGCCTGCATAGCCAGAAAAGAAAGTGTAGTAGAACATCAGGAGTACCTCGTTCAGGCAATGCACGAACTGTCCACCAGCCGCCACAAACCCATCCTGCTGCCGTTCGACTAAGAGCGGGACCAGCCTCGGATGCACCGACTCAAGGCATCCAAAGGTTTACAAACATGTTGTATAGCACATAATACAAGATCCAGTGCTATTATCGCATAACACAGTATGCTGCAGTGTCGTGGTACAGTATAAGATATTCCTGTCGAAGCGAGCGCTTGACGAAACGGCACGACCTTGAGATTCCGTTTATATCTTTTGTGTTTTGGTTTGGGTTGGGGCCTGTGCCGCCCTTCCCCATCCCCCCCGCTCTGCCCGGGCCCCGGCGAAACTTGGTGGTTAAGAGTTGAGCAGACGTCACAGCCCCCATGTTCCCGCATTCAAGCGGGGGTAGACTAGCTGATGCTCCAAGCAACAAGCATGCATCATGTAACGGCAGAGTTCCCGATATGCTCGGAAAGTCGGAAGAGGTGTGGCCAGTGCCGACAGACTCCAAACACGGAGGCATGCACAGGGCGACCAACAAGCGCGCACCAAATGGAGAGGGAGCACCTGGGTTCCAGCTCCAAGGGGGAACATGCAACAAAGCAGACCAGCGAGCACATGAGAAGCCGGTGGGACAGGAGGCCACTACAATCGCTGCCGCATGTCTGGCATACCCTTTCAGGGTAAGTGAAGCTGTTTCGAGGCCCAACAGAGGCGAAGTCTCGCGGTGCAGCAGTACGGCAAGCGGCTGCTATGGTCAATGAACGCCTGTGCTTCGACGATTGCAAGCCGAACCCAAACTTAAAATGCCGCGTATGCACGATGCAGTCTCACACAAAAACATTCGGGAGACAGTCTTCGTGCAAAACACATCAATCTAAGATCTTGCAACACCCGGTGCAGAGCAAACCCAAAATCAAAATGCCCCGCACGATCCAGCATGACACAGCAACATTAGGGAGACAGTCTTCTGGTGTTAAACCATTTCAACATCTTGCAAGGCCCGCCTGAGCAAACCAAACCCCTAATCAAAATGACGCACGATCCAGCATGACACAGCAACATTCGGGAGACAGCTTCCTGGTGAAACAACAACTCACTCCCAGAACTTGAAAGGCCCACCAGGAAGCAAACCAAATCCAAACTCAAAGTGCCACGTACCATCCAGCATGACACAGCAACATTCGGAAGACGGTCTTGTCGTGGAAAACATATCAACCCAAGATCTTACAACACCCACCAGTGAGCAAACCGAATCCAAAATCTACACAGCACGCAGTAGCCAGCATGACACAGCACCATTCAGGAGACAGCATTGTAGTGTAAGATCCGTGCTTGCAAAAGTTCTTGCACGCCCCACCGGTGAGACTGTCTTCTGATGTAATACGAGTGCTTGCAAGACTTCCGGTAAGGTTTGCCAGTGAGCAAGCGAAAAGAAGGCCAAATATCACCCGATAGCATCACACAGCACCCTTCGGCACACAGTCATGTGGTGCAAAATCCATCATTCCAAGATTTGTTGCAAGGCCCCCAGTAAGCAAACCGAACCCAACATCCGATTACCACGCGTCACGTAGCCAGACTGCACTGTGGTGTAAGACTTCTTGCGAGGCCCACCAGGCACCTAAACAAACCCAAAATCAAAATGCCACGCACAGCTGCCAGCATGATACAGCACCATTCGTACACAGTTTGGGGGCACATTCGTCTGCAAGAATCTTCGTGTGTAGCAGTCCAGGATCAAAATGCCACCCAAGGCTTACCACCACACGGGACGGTCTCGTTGAACAAACACTGCCAAGGCCTGGCCGAAGAATCCATAACGTGTAGCAGTCACTACCCCGCAACCATGTCTTCAGCACCGCTTGGGACAATCTTGTTGCGCAAGTGTTTACAAAGCCTCGTCAAAAGTCGAACCCAATGCAGGATTTATTCCAGGAGCACTTCCTCGAGTCTCGGTGATCAATTTCTGATGACTGTGACAAGGAGCGTCGGAAAACTCAGCGAAATGTGTTCTAATCCCAAGTCGAACGAGGCTTTCGAAAGACGGGAAAATGGATCTACGGCAGCTTGCTTGCGCAGATTCCTGAAACCTTTTTCAAAAGAGGTGGGTCGGCATAGACATTTTTAGAGATAGACACAAACAGGAACAAAACCCGAGTCAGTGGAAGAATGCACAGAGGAAGCAGAAGTCTGGCCCCTGCAGGCTTGCCTCGAATACAAAGATGCCACTCATCCCCTTGTTATATTCAAAGGGAGTACATGCGCCGTACAAGCCTTCCAGCTTCATGGCTTTATTGAGTCAAGGAGAGCGGCACGAAGGGACGAAGGGTTGTGAACGACAGCGACCGCGACCGAGCCGACGCGCAAGACCACCGCTTTGCAGCAGTTGGCCCCGCGCTGCCCATCCAACGCCCCCTTCGCAGGCAGGCCTTTTCAAGGCCGGCTCTGTTGCAGAAGCCGCCGAACACATGAACTCTACAGACTCTACACATCGCTACACAAAACCACACGGGGAAGGGGCCGAAACAAGGTTAGATCCACGTCCGTCCCTACGCACGCAACAAAGCCAAAAAATCTCCTGTGAGGACACGCCGATACCCTCTCCCATGCGGGATGGAATCCGAATCTAGACTTGCAGATGGGCAGCACTGCGTTCTTCCAGAAACTGTAGATGACGAACTTGCCTCGGTCTGAACCGAAGTCTGATGCAAGCACAACATTTGACTGCCATGTCCAATTGTGGGAAATTCAGCCGGAGAACATGCGCGTTGATAATTCCAGCGCCCATGCACAAGCAAGAGTCGGACCAAATACCTTCGGCAAAGTGAGATAAAATGCGATGGCATACAATTTTGCATGCTGCATCTGCTTGCAGTTACCTCATCCGAGACATGTCGGCAAAGCAGTCTTACAGAGATGTAATGTGGAACCCCGGTTTGTTACAGGCCCTTCATCGCAAGTAGGCCGGAGTCTGGGACGCACGCCGAAACTGTGCGATGGCAAAATCCGCAGAGTTGACTGCCTGCCTTTACACATTGCATGTCTGCTCACTTCGCGCTTCTCAGATTGCGATGCCACTTGTGGCATCAGTAGATATCAATCCAGGGCCTGCCCTCTCTGCCGGAGATGCCCACTCCAACCTGCTACTAAAGAGACTTATACGAGTACGATCAAGGCCAGAGGTGACCCGCCTGCGCTTGCTGAAGCATTGGGACGTCGTTCGCGCCGTCACCTGCTGGTTGCAACAAGAGCAACAAGTAGCCCCCCTAACAAAAACAAGCAGAGACCCACCAAAGGCGAGCCTATTGCCAAGGTCACGGGCGTTGGATGCACGCCTCTCCTGCTCATCTCCGAGCTTTACGACTCTACGGTCTTCCAGTTGAATCTCTGCTTCTTTGGTAAATGTGGCTTCCTCCTCCCGATTTCCTCCGCTTATAGTTTGGTCAGACTCACGAACCCTGTAACTGCCTTGCGAGTTAAATCAGGGTGTGAGCATGTGAGTGTTACTGCAGCGGGGAAGGCGGAGAGCAGAAGGGGTGATTGAGGGTGACTGATGGGTGGGTGGGATGGGAATGCCGGGATTGCTCGCCCGCGAGCCGCGTGCTTGGATGGGCAACAATCAGGTAGCAGTGACCATTTCCAATCATGCACCAACCCCTAGCCCCCAAACCATAACAACCTATACCTCACTCCCCAACTCACCAAAATACGGAATATCCCTAAAACCCCATACACCAATGCCCCCATAGAATAATACCCAACCCGATATCCCCAACCCTAGAAAATGGAAATGGTCTTGAGAGAACCTTGGCGATGGCAGTTCTGATGTAATGCTTCAAACCTTCTTCCTATTATATTACGGTAGATCTTTTAGTATAGATAAATTATTTGAGAAGAGCATGTTCATTCTCTATTGCTAGGGATTTCGGGTTGCCATTATTTCTATGGGGGTAGTGTTATACGGAGTTTGGGTTGTTTTTTCTATGCGGGTCTCCCTATGGGTCTTCCGATGTTTCCATTCTAAGGATTTCCCCATGGGTATTTTGGTGAGTTGGGGAGTTAGGTATAGGTTGTTATGGTTTGGGGTTGGTGCATGATTAGAAAGGGTCACTGCTAACTGAATACTCTAATATTGGTATTGGGGGGGGGGGCGGGGGGGCAGGCTGCTTACGCTGACATGGGTGCTTGGTTGGGCTAAGTGCTTGGTTGGTGGTTGGCGGCCGGGACTGGGATGGGGTGGGAGTGGAGTGTTGAAAAGCGCGAGTGCGTGAGTGAAAGAGTGTGCGAAAGCGTGAGTCGGGGTGTGAGTGAGTGCGTAAAGGTGTGGGGGGGGGGTGTTCATGACGATTGAGTTGTGCGTGAGTCAGCGCACGAGTGTCAAGGATTGAGGAGTGCGACCGGGGTGGGACGGTGTTGATGCCGAGTGGTGATGAATCGAAGGGGCGTGCAGGAATTGCTCGCCCGCGAGGCTAGAAGGAGCCGACTGACTCTTCCGACGTTGGCTCCCTCTAGCATGCTGTGCTGGCCACCCGGGATTCAAGGAACATGTCGGGATTCAAGGAACATTTGGGGTTTCAGACTTAAGGGCTTGGATGTCTACTCACAAATTGAAATGAGGCTTTGGGTTTAGGAGTTTGGATTTCGAGGGAAGCCCCCCGGGCTCTCGGCGAGGACTGAGCATCATGGGCCCCTCTTCGTCCGTTTTCCACTAGAGCATGGTCAGCAGAGCAGAGTAGGAGCCGAAATTGAGCGAGGACAATCGTCGAGGGAATAATGAGAGCAGAAAGAGTGAGGGGAGGGAGAGAGGAGGGCCAGAAGGGACGGGTTGAGAGTTTTGAGAGTAAAGAGTCCGAAAAGAGTGCGACCTCACAATCTTCACGATCTCCGCCTTCTGCAGTGGTGACACCTTGGTCATTCAAGGCAAGAAACACCAGGCGTAGAGACCATCCTTCAGGCCCTGCACGCGACAGGCGATCACGACAGAGCAGAGCATAGCCACCTGGAGCAATGCAGCTGCTTCCGCCATGCCAGACTGCATCTGCCCATCACGCTTCTGAGCCTCCAAGAGCTGGTCTTGCAGAATTCCTTTGGGCTTGCTCGCTGGCATCCTGCACGTCAAACTAAACAGCTTCTCCTGATCTGCCACGCAGCTGCGCAGCCTGCCTGCCGCTGGAGCTGCTCCTCCCTATCGGTTGCAGTATCTCCTGCAGGAGAGATGAAGGCTTGAGTGCCCTGGAAGACAATGAAGGTGCGGTGTGCCCACCTCCAGCGCGTGGCCCGTCACGATGAGGGCCAGCGTGCGCCGAGCAGTGTCGGCCTCGGCGACGAAGATAAAACTCTGATCTTTTCTCCAGTTTGGGTTTGGGCCCTCAGCTTGGCCTGCTTCGCGCTTCGAAGAACCTGATGCAGCTCGTCCTGAGGGCGCACCGGACTCGCGGCAAGCCAAGACACCTACAAAAACTTGCTGGCCGTCCTCTATTGGTCGGTCTGGGGACGAATCCAGACTGTAAATCTCCATGTCGTTACCTCATGTATGCTGATGACTAAACCCTGCGCTCTGACAGCCAGACGTAGCTCTGCATATCTCTGCATGACTTGGCCAATGGCTGAGCACCCGAGTGCTGAAGCCGATATTCTTTGCCGTCTCCAGCTTGTCCTTGGCACGGCTCAGTTGAAGCTGATCGATGTCTCCGACACCTCGACCACCCCACTAGTGGAGCTCAAATTGAGACTACTCCAGCAAAGCAGCACCTGTCAGCACCCAGAGTTTGATCCCAGCCTTTGCTGCGCAGGCACGGACTATAGTGTGGTGAAGGAAATCATGCAAAAAAAGGCCATGCTGACCTCCTTTAACTTCCAGCCTGGAGCTTTCTTTCCGAAAATCTTCTGAGTAGTAGCGGATCGTTTTTCTGGCGCAGTCCTCTGCACCGAAAAGCTACTGCCAAGCAACCTGCCGAATCTTGACGATCGCATCCTGCACGCCCACCTGGAGCAGGATACAAACACACGCTATTGCGCAGCACGTTGACACGACTAGTCTGCAAGTAGCCTGCAACTTGTCCTCAATGGCTGTGACGCCGACGATCTCCAGCGAACTGCCAGCGCTTCCGACAAGAAATAGTGACTTGAAGTGTGAGCACATGCAAAAGTCAGAAAGCCGACCTCTCTATCCGAGCAGCAACCGCCGCAAGCGCTGCCTCTCTGTCCTCACGAAGAGGAGGGAGGAACCCAGGAGCTTCCCGGTTCCCTGGAAATTCGCCGAGTCCTCCATGGAGGACTGGGCTTTGGCGTAGTCGGCTTGCCAGGATTGGAGTTCCTGATCGGCGAGGAACCGCCTCGAAGGATGCGAAGCTCGTCATCACAGGTCCGACCTGCCGACTCCTGATGCCGTCTGCAAGGCCGCGCCTCCCGAGCACCAGCGTGCGCAGGCCTTGCTTCGCGAACATTTGCAGATGCTCCTCCGAGCGCACACGAGCACCACGAGTGCAGGCTGCATGATTGACGTCGTTTGACCAAGCATGTGCAACCAACGCCGGCTGCTGGCTACCGCAAGGTGCGACATGCGCAGACATGTCGGAGGTCCTCGGGAAAGGACCGTGGATCTTTGGCGAGCTGTTGCCTTGCACTGCAAGAGATATGACGCGGCACCAAGGGAATGAGGCCCGCAAGGCACAAGTCATGTTGCCAGGCTGATCACCCTTTGCAAATCGGAGGTGAATGACTTAGCCTTTCCTACCCGAACAACGTTGCAGAGCAACTCACGAAGATCGGTCAAACCTGCGAGCAGTGTGAACCTGCTCGAGCCCTCGCGTGAAAATGTCAAAGGCTGCTGCATAATGTCATCGGCACCCTTGACGAGGAGGAGTGCCTGAATAAGGAAAGGACATCACACAAGACAGCCGGGATGTGAAATTCGTTTCTTACGAAAGGCCCTTCCTCCCCAGATGGTCGTCGCACGACGACGGATTGGCGCTTCCTGCAGCTTCGAGCGGCAGGAGTTCGTAAGGATCTGCTTCTTGTCTATGAACAGATGATGTATGTTTACATATTTTACTCTTGTATGTTGAAGGTTAGACTTCATTGTGATTTTGTGATGCCGTTGCATATCATGCCATATCTGTTCTACTGCATACCTAATACGATTATTCGAGATTGTCTCACTCAAAAAAGTTACATATCGCATATATGCATATATAAAAAAGCTCCCGGGCCTGGCTGAGGTAAAGGCATTCAGCGCCTGAGTGTCAGGGAGGAAAGGCAAAGGACTCCCAGGGACGCTGCTACGAGGTTTATAGTTTATGGGGTTTAAGGTTCAGGGTGTATGTGTATGTATACATATATATATATATATATAGAGATGCATATACTATATACACATACGTACATATATATATATATATACATATATAGATAGATAGATAGATAGATAGATAGATAGATAGATAGATTGATTGATAGATGGATGGATAGATGGATAGATGGATAGATGGATAGATGGATAGATAGATAGATAGATGTGCATATATATATATATTATATATACACCCTTTGTTTACTTACATATTTGTTTTGAAAACACGCATAATATGAATGTATATATATATATATACATAAACAGATCTCTGTCTTGGTTGTTTACTTATGTTTATACTTATTTAATTACTCATTATTTAGTCTCGATACTTCTTTCAATAGGTACCTATAGTTTAGGTAGGGCATCTTGGGTTTAGGGTCTGCGTGCAGAAAAGCTGCCAGAACCTGATACACCCGGGGAGTCTTGGAGCCTTCAGCATCCACCTGGCAGCAACGAACAAACGTGCATGGTGTGAAGACACCCTGCGAAGAGGCAAGGGCCGGCCTCCACCGTCAATTCCTCGTTTGTTCGGCCAATGAAACTCCAGCCCAAACCTCGCACTGCCTGCGCTTCTCTCAAGGATCCACAAGACAAGCTGTTGATGTCGGGTTGACGTTGCCTCCACCAAAGCTCCCTCATCAGGGCTTTCGGCCTGCGAGGGAAGAACGAAAGAAGACTTGCAAACTTTTGTCTTGGGATGTCGATCCAAGCCTCGTATTTGAGGTTGCCTGCTCGATCGCGAGTGGACACCACTGTATGCGACACCGCCAACACCTTTGGTAAAGTTTGGGGATGTAGTAGCGACGTTGCAGGCTCGCCATGTGTCATTAATCTGCCTCAAGCGCGGCGTCTATGCCAGCATTCTTCCTTGAGTCCTCGTACCTCTCAAACAAAAGCCAGACTGAAAGGACAGCTGAGCGACAACAACAAACTGAGAAAGTCAACGACCTCGCCATCATCATTTCGGCTCGGCCCTGAAAGCCGTACTCCTGCCAAGCTAGAAGCGATGTGGGGCACGGTAACTCATCACATCCGCCGGCCTCTCCAACTTCGCCGTACACGCTGCCTGCCCGGAGAACATGGATCAGAAAATAGCCACCCCGCAGAATGAAATGCAGCGGACTACAACTACAACGGCAGCGCTGATTTACCATGGGCAGCAATACGTGCAGGCTTGTGCTGAAAGGCTTGAGTGATCGCTTCATCGCCAGCCAGCCTGAACCGCCTGCAAGTCTAAGAATCTAAGGGATCCTGGAAATCGAACCATGAAGCTCTGCTTCCTTCAGCTCCTTTGAGAACATGCGGCAGGAACTCCAGAACTGCACTCTTACCAGGCCTTCAATGGATAGGCGCTTAAGTTCCATGATGTTCTGCGTCAGCCTGGCACAAAGGCGCTGTACATTTGCAGTGGGGGAACAGTGGGTGCCCATAGATTCGGGGTTCTAGTTTCGGATCGGCTTCCTGTGAGTTTCGGTTGACCGGGGTGAGTTTCGGGGCCCAGTTTCGGGGAGCGGGGGGGGCGGGGGGTTCGGGATGTTGCAAGGTGACTACTATAGTATCACTAGGGCAACACTATGAGTACTACTACTGGTAATACAAATACTTCTAGTACTACAGTACAACTAGTAGCCAGTACGACTAGTAATTGCTACGTGTACTACTGCTGCTTGCACTACTAGTAGTTGCTATGTGTACTGTAAACTGGCCGCGCCCTGATCCGAAACTGACCTGGCCTCTGCCCCGAAACACCACCCCGAAACTACCCTCGAAAACCCTGAAACTGACCACTTCCGGGGAACAGTCTGTGTCCACATGCACACACGCATCAATTAATGTTAGTCGTTCCTGGCAGGTGTGTATGTAGTTGCTGGGCTCATGTCCTTGGTACAGCAAGTTCATGAACCGCGGAGTTGTCAGTGGCAAATTTGCGCATACCACGACCTGGAGGTATCTTCGCTTTAGTGGTGCTGCTTAGCCACTCTATGCATGTCGGCTCTGAGTTTGCACATCTCGTTTGTGGGCGTATGAAGACATGTTCAGACTCGGAGGTGTGCTGTAACAAGTTCCCGTTATACCAGATTTATGCCTTCTATCGGTTGGATTTGCCTTGTTCTTACCTATATGTCGGTGGAATTTATGCTTGTGCTCGCTCTACCTCGGTAGGATGTATGCCCTGTGCTTGCCTTACTTCGGCGGGATGTATGCCTATGTTTGCCTTATTCCGGTTGGACTTACGCCTTGGTTTTCCTTATTCTGTCGCGTTGTTGCCCAATTTCCGATTTAGCTCATATTTTTGTGGCGTGTATGCCTTATTCGGCGGAGTTTGCACCACATCCCCTCAGATCTTGGCACAAGTCATGAGCATCGAGCTCGGGGAGAACAGGAATAAGTCTCGAAGAAACATCTAGAGTACAAATGCCCCTAGATACCAAGCAGAAACAGAATAGGAGACATGTCTACAGGTCGGATCTCCAGATCAAGCCTAGAATAGACTAGATAGATTATACTTTCCTGCATGCCCTGTGTACGCAGTCGTTGCAAGTGTCATTCAATTCTCCAAACTGGCAAGGTCCACGTTCCTGTCTTGTCTGAGAAGATGTACGAAACTTGTCCAAGCTCATGGCAAAGATTCCTCGTTTGGCAGAGCAACTCACAGCATGAAGCCCTGGCATCCAGTACTCCGATGCTCACAAGAAGCTGCTTGTCTGCCAGACATGTGCACATTCCGCTCTTGCATTTGAGGCACGTTGTTCGCGCATTCGCGGGACAGTCCTGGCCCTGACACTCATCGGCCACAGATTCCACGAAGGGCGGAATGTCACAAAGCTCTCTTCTAGGGGTAGCACGGTGCATCCGATTCGGATCCGCCAATCAGCGAGCTACACGCAGTAGCTCTTTCCCCACCCTGCGGCACCTCATCATACATCTCAATGTCGTTCTTTATGAAGTAAGCCTCCAGCAGAACTGCTCGGAAGCAGACCAGGGCTAGAAAGGAATTCAGGCCGGCCTGCGCAGTATTGCATACCTGGCAGATAACTTTTGCAGTATGCTATGCGGTGAGGAGCTGCGAGAGACTGCCTAGGCCAATGGAGCCGGCCTCCATGGTGAAATAGAGGGATATGGGCATCAAATTCGAGTAAAGCCTGGACATCTCCACAGATGCGACCCCGACCACTGCCCTCAATTACCTGAGGGACTGACACGAAAAATGTGAGCCAGTAGCCGATACTCTCTGGCAGGATGATCTTTTGCGATGGTCCGGTGGGAAACAGATACCAGTAGCTCATGAACTGCTCTTTGGTCATGAGGTACACGATATCGTTGATGAGCGCCATCAAGCATTGTGCACCCACGACGACCAGCATGGATCGGTTGATCACCTGCTCGATGTTGGCATACTTGGCCTTTGCCTTCCTAGAGTTCATCACCATCCGTGTCTCCGGTCCCGTGTAGACAACCACTCCCAAAACCCAGGACGTGTTTTTCAAGACCGTTCCACGGAGAAGAAAGTTCTTGGAGTTCAAGGGCTCTTCCACTTCAGCGCCAGTCCGAAGGCAGCCCTTGAAGGTGTGAATCGATTTCTGCGGCGCCTCCGCCACAAGAAAACTCTCACCCAGGGAGTGGAGCCTCTCAACGGCTTGGTCCAGCAAGGGCCGCGCGTCGCCCGCGCCTCCAACCAGAGCCCTTTGTGTAGATGAAGCTGGTTCTTTGAGCTTCAAGTTTGTTTCGCCGTCGAGATTCGCTGTCGACACATAGCACCCACCCTCACTGGATGATGCAAGCGGCACCAAGTCGGCCGGAAACTCCTCCTCTCCAGCCACAACTAAGACATCACCGACACGAACGTCTGCCCAAATCACATCCTCGGAGACGAACCCCTTGCCTCCCATTCCGTCGGCCTTGATCCGGTGCGCTATTTGACTGTTGGTAATGACATCAGCCTCATGCCGGCGCTTGTCATCGATGACTGCGATAACGGCTGATGCTGTCATCATGATGAGCAAGGCTGCGAACGTGGAGTAAAACTTTATGAAGCCATAGAACAAAGGAGTGTAGTTACCTCAGCACGTCTGGACACTCTGCAGGCTCAGACATCGTCACTTTGCAGCCGCAAGAACATTGAAACCGGACAAGGTGCCGATGAACATCACAACAGAGATGAACAGGAAATATCGATTCGCAGCCTTGTGAAGCTGCTCCCATAGATTTTTGGGAACCTCAGCCGGTGCTCATTCGGGTGCAGACTGGCGACACTTGGTGCTGTCTCGGTCCCTGGCAAAATTCAAGACCGTATACTTCGAAGTAATAACCGTGTTTGCCGGGAAATGGCTCGCCCATGCCTGGAGCACGGCTCCATCGTGCAGCCGTAAACTCTCACAGCCTGTACCCGAGAGAACGCGAAGCCTCGCGAGCTCCATCCGGAGGGATCGGAATTTCTCGCTCTTGGCTGCCATGCTCCTGCACTTCGCATGGTCACAAAGGTAAACTGGGCAGTCAATAAACGCATTGTACTTAGGCAATATTCCATGTCATATAGTAGCACAACGAGTATGAGACTTGAACATTTAGTAGCATTGCATCCGCCGTCCTGGTCCTCCCGCATCCACGTTACTCAGGAAGGCCGTCTATGGCATCGGGTCCAGCAAGCATCACAGACTATTAAGTGGCTTAGGCTTGTAGGATGATCCTGCACTGGGGCGAGTGGCACGGGGACTTGAGTATAGGAGTTGCAGAGAACCGCAGTGCTCACAGATATCGCTCCGTTATACCGTTATACCCTTTTGATGTCAATGTGGGCCGGAAGAGCTGCAAGAGACACACACACACACACGCACCAAATGCCAGCTTCCTTCCTGCAACTGTTCGGCCAAGCATGTCCGACACCCTTGCTCCCGGCTTCGTGGCGATGTTTTCTCTGCGTCGCATGTCCAGGCAAGTTAATGTACAGTCGGAGTTGGAATTCTCTTTTCATTTCTTGGGGCCAGGAGACTCGCCCTTGTCCTTCTCCCCAGGCTTCAGATTCTTCTTTACATTCTTGGCTCCTAAGCCTCCACCCTTCTTCAAGTTTTTCTTTGGATCTTTGTCCTTCCTCGCTCTCAACTTCGGATCTTTGGGGTCGTCTTTGTCTTTTTCGCTCGGCTTGTCGTCATCCTCCTCCGTCTGGGGAGTGGGCTGCGTCGAGCTTGGCATGTGCATGTCTCTGTCCGAGCGAGCGCGGTCCGTACCTGTCACGGAACGTCGCTACAAAACGGGTAGTGTCAGCGTGCCCACCTATGACAGCCCCGAGCTGCGCACGTGGAGTCATTTCGGCACCAGGATCCATGCGAAGCTGTCGTCGAGTGGACTTGCTCGCCTCGCAAGTGTGAGGAACGGCGTGGCGGCGTGGGAGCAACTGCGCCGGGTAACCTTAACAAACTACCAACCACCCACAGGCCAGAAATTATAGGTGCGATTGCCCTTATGCGCATCCTCATGCACTGGTGAAACAAATCAGGCTTGCATTGCCTTGTAGGTTTCATCCTCGCGCAGTCGAACGTCGGGGAACAAGGACTGGTTGATGTTCGGGATGACACCACCTCCAGCAATTGTTGCCTCACAGCCGACTTGCATCTGCAAAGACTCAAGTGCAGCCAAAACCTGCATCTAACCTGGCGCTGCCAGCACAATGCATCCAGCCTATAGGCATGAGGCATGTACGAAGGAAAATCATACAAAATCCCTGGCCCTCCTTTGCTGGCCTTGACAAAGCCCGCAAGCTCCTCATCCCCACGAATTGCAATTTGCAAGTGCCGCGGCGTAATGCGCTTGAGATGGTAGTCCTGCAAGGATCGACCGCTTGGATGCATAACGCTTCGTGCAACACCCATAAGTTCATAAGCCAAGGCTGGCAATGAACACACAAAGCTGGTCCGCACACACGTTGCCAGCCAACTCCAGAACCTGACACGGGCCATGCACGCGCAGCAGCAGGGCCAGACAGTGCGAGATGCTTGGCGTTGCCATGCGCCTCTGCTGCCAAGTACTCCATGACAGCAGCCGTGAAGATGCCCGCAGAACCGCCGACTCGACACCTTGCTGCCATGTACCTTCCGTTCCCAGCAGCCCTGTAACTGAAAAACAATCATTTACGTCCACCCTGGTGGTCGTGACGTGGCCGAGGATCGAACGACTTGAGGAACCGGTGGATGCGAGCAACAGGGAAGATGCATCCAGCGCGTTTCGCGGTCGTCTTGCCCTGAGTGACCACTTGCGGCTCGACTACTGGCTCTTGCAGGTTCACGGGTCAGTTGCCAAACATCTGGCCTGCTTGCCCTCAACCTTCTTGTTCTTGTCTTTGGGGGCGGATCTGTTGCGGCCACGCTTGCGGCCACGCGACGGCTTTGTCGCAGATTTCCCGCCATCTTGCACTGACTCTTCCCCTTCTGTCTCTCCTCCTCCTACACCCATCTTCGTCGGTGTCTTTCCCTGGGCAAATCATTTGCAACACGAGCCAGTCCAAACTCAGCGTAGCACAGTACATCCATAACATGTACGTGCCTTAACTTCTCCTTTGTTGACGCCAGGTTTTTTATCATCCTTTCCCTGTTTCAGGTTGCTGCTGACTTCGCAGGGATGGATACGAGCACATGGGAGATCGCACATGCTGGAGGAGACCCACGGACTCGCGATGACTCGTGTCTCTCCAGTCCTTTTCCCCTTGCTTTTTCTTCTCGAGCTTCTTCTCACTTTTGCCTTTCTTCTCATCGTCGGCTCCCTGCAGAGAGAGCAGCGAAACCCCAATTTCGCCATACTTTGGCCGCTGCGCCTTGGCTTGGTCGGATTTCTTCTTCTTCTTGGTGCTGGTCTTGGCCTCGTGATCCTCCTCTGCTTCGGCCAGCATCACTTCCTCGAGCAGAGCGCAGTCCCTGCCAGGCCCCACCGAAATTCCCCCCCACTATCCCCCGCTCCTCTGCTTGCTGTCCTTCCTGGCCCGCTGCCGTCTGGAAGACTTGCGACTGACAGGTAAGCAGATCCAAGCACAGTATGACCATTTTGCGCAAGAGAGACGTCACACGGGTCGTCTGTGGCTGCCTTGGTGCCCTTAGTCTCCTTGAAGGTTTTCTGGCCCTTGTCTAGCTTCTGCTTCGGCGTGTCTTTGCCCTCGCCTCGCTTCGTGACCCGTTGATCAACGTAAACAGAACTCTGCAGTCGAGAAGCTGTGTGGCGTCTGTCTGGTGTCCCTGTCCTTCAGCCAGGCCACAGCAGGTTTTGACTCCAGCTTGATGTGTCTGAACTGTGACAATGGATGTTATTCTGCACTCCTCATCTACAGGGGATGACGCAGGAGGCGAGGGCGCCGGAGTTGAAGCCGGGGTGGATCCATCTATTTCGGATGCTTCCTCGGCACCACCACCTTCGGGCGGCATTGTCCTCGAGATGTTTCAAGACAAACAAAGACACCGGAGAGATGCGACAATTGAACCTATTCCTTCGCCGGATCTTGCTGACGAGAAACAGGTAGCGCGCCTACCTGAGATTAAACTGTTGCACTTACTTTGCGGCCTTTGTGCCCCCACAAAGGCACCCTTGAGCCAGCACGCAGCGGTGAACGGAACACGTTCGAATCGTGGGATTGCGGTGACTACATGTCCGTTCGCAGTACCACTTCGAAACAGAGCCATTTTGTCAATCAGCGATGGTCTGATTTGCCCACACCCCACACACCCAACCGCATTGCCAAGCCTGCCTTCACGCAGACAGCAGGATGCAATGCCACCCGGGCAGTCTCATCTCAACTGCCCATCCCCATATGTCAGTTTACATCGATCGGCCCATGAATGATTCTTTGCAGTCGGGCCCGCTTCTTCTGGGGAGTGGTGAACCTGGACACCAATGCCGCATCCGAGTAAGCGATTCGTAGAGAAGCATCTCAGCAGCGGGCGTCCCCTCTTCCACGTCAAACACTCGCGGAAAGGGAAGCCTGAGTTCATGTGGATTTTATTGCCTCGTGTTTCCTTCAATGCCTCTTCGGATTCCCCGTCAGCTTTCAACGGTCCCGGCCTCTTCAGCAGGGCTCCAGGGCCAGGCTCCAGGGACCTGAGCTTCGCCACGGGGAATCTGCGAATCTGTGGAGACGAGACGAGCGAGGACATCGCACGGGCACCTTTGCTGGAGTTGCGAACCGCTCCGACCTCCGTTCTCAGCCAGCTCAGCACTGGATATGAAATCGAGTGGCTTAAGCACAAAGCACAGGTGACTTCTCCGCAGACATCGAACTCGACATCGACTCTGACCTCAGTCACACAAGGAGTACGCAACAGACCTGGCTCATGCACAAGGTGTCATGAACTAAAGGCAGCATGTCACGCTGCCTCGACAGACTTCTGCATGGCGAAACCTCAGCAGCCAGCGCAACCGCACACAGGCAAGCCAACAAGCTGTGAGCAGCCTCCACATCGCACCCCGAGATCTTCGAGCGACCTGCCTGCCGAAAGGTGTACTAAGCATGTAATAAACAAAGCTGGGCTGAAAAACGCCGACCTTGCCGAAGTTGGATATCTCCTTGTACCACCATACCTGCCAAAAACTCGCTTCCCGCAGGTGTGAGAGCTACACACCAGACTTGTTGTCTCACACTGCAATGCTCTTGACCTCTCACGGTATCAACACAGTGAGTGCTTCGAGCCGTTTTGCAGAACTTGGCTTGGCTGGCGTGGCTTGGCTAGTAGAAAGGTGTCCGACGCCTCTCGCTAAACCTTTTTTGCCTTCAACCTTGCATCTACTAATCTACCAGCCCAGCAAAGGCGGGTCTGCTGGCTCTCCTGCCCCGGTGTCATGGCGGTGGCTTCTCTGCGTAGTATTCTGATGACAGTGCTGCATGTTCACACAGATGTGGCGCTAGAGCATGTTTAGAGTTTAGACTCCCAACCAGCTCCGTGCGCAGTGTGCCGCGGTCGTGTCTCTACCGGACTTGCTCCACACTGAACGTGTATTTAACGCACCACGCCCTGAACACGTCGTTTCGAAACACACACATTGATATCCCTTTCCAATTCGTGCAGATACTAAATATAGGCAGACATAGGTGTAGACAAGAGATTTCTCAAGGCTGTAGTACCGTGGATGGATCAGTGCCCGCTGCACGGCGCACGCGTCCAAATACGCGTCTTTTGAGGTGCCATCCGCTCACGCCCCTGAGCTCTGGCCAGCAGGACGACCGGTGGAACACTGCGGCGCAGAAACATGCTGGCGAGCTAGCAATAAGCAACGGGCTTCTGCGCGTTGCCACGTACGAAAAAGACAATCCTTGGAACGGGTGAGCTGTGTCCCCTGTCACGTCGCACTACTGAAGCCGTATGCACTCTACACCACAGGGTCGAGGAGGACAGTGCAAAGCCAGATCTGTTGCCTGCGATTGCCTGGAAAGCGCCACCTTCCTGAGGTTCAGACCCCAGCAAGTGAAGAGTTGCTAAGGCCTGTCGAAATCTGGGCAAAGCGACCTTGGTCGCGAAACTTTCGGTACACACGAGGCCCCAATGACAAGTCGTGATGCTGGACAGACTGGGTTCAACGTGTGTGTGTGTGAGAGAGAGAGAGAGGTGCACACGCTACCCTTCTTGCACCACACCTACGATTCGCCTGCGATTGAGGCACACGCTTCGTCAGCCAATGATGCAAACATCGTTTTCTGACACGAGGCCCAAAGATCTGCGACCTGGCTCCGACAAAGCTGACCCATACCCATGCGAACCCTGCCTTACACACGGGAAGTGTTGTGACATGCCTTGACCTGCCGGCCGACAGAACATTCCAGATACCTAAGCGGGCAGCACAGGTGCGCAAAGCCGTTGCTTTGACTCATGTCGAATGCACAGGCCAGGCACTGGTAGATGCGAGCAGTGTCTCGCAAGGGGCTGCCTGCCTAGTGGTCACCACGGCTTAAGCAGCATCCAGCGTGAGCAAACAGCTCCGAGCACTGGGCATCCTTAGCAGCGCCCTCGTGCGGCTCTTCTGCTGCAAGCATGCGCAGGCTGCCCTGTGGTGTCGACAGAGACAGGTGAGGATGACTCTGTGTGCGAGTAACTTCGCCCGGGCACTCCCAAACCCCATCACTCACGCCTGCCTCGGTTTTCCTCACTAGGTGCCGCTCGGCATCCGTCAGGGATTCCTGGCTCTTGCGGCTTCACCGCGGAAGGATCCCTTCACGGCGCTGATGGCCGCAATGACAACTACGGCAATGGTCTTCCAATCCCACTTGCCTGGCTGCAGTTGAAGTCCTTCGCCTGGGCAGTTTCCAAGTGTCATGCACGCCTGGGAGCAGCAGACGTGCCCCAAAGTGAAGCGGCTCATGACCCAGCTGACCGCAAGAGAGCCCACGTCTCGCTCCGACGGAGCCTTCTGAGCCTCCAGCAGCGAGCAGGCAAACCATGTCCAGGACATGCGAGACGCTCTGCTGAAACTGCTGGAAGATATGCCTGGCAGGGCAGCATCACCAAGTTCATGAGCGCTGCCTCTACCGTCACACCCCTGCCTTAGTGACTTCTGCACGGCTGGTGTGCGCGCAAGTGGACAACGCACCTCAATTGGGCCACCGCTCCCCAAACTCGAGGCACCCTTCCTCACTTCCGTGAATTCGGCCTCCTTCATTCTGCCCAACAGCTCGATGAACACCTTTTCGGGATCGAAAAGGCACCTGTGGGGACAGCTCACCACTTCTCTCGGCATGGACTTTCTGCGTTTTGGCATGTGTAAGGAGGTCGATTGTTCTACTTAATGGCTCGAGCGCCAGACACTGTCTGAATGTGGTGGAATGCGCCTGGCTCCTTGGACAGTGCATGAAGGTAAAGCACAGCTGGATCTCGCTTTCAGTTTAGCTAAGTCGCACTGCCCAAGTCAAACAGTTCAGTTCGACTTGCCTTCAGACGCTTCAACCTCAGTTGGCATTCGTGTCTCTTCCAGGTGCACAAAGAACTGAAGACTCTCCGACCTGTTTGAACTTGCACCGAAGCAGCGGAGCAGAGACTGAGACCCCTGCCCGAGGAATGCCACTATAGGAATTTCAGCAGCTATGCAGTTCTCATGCCAGTATGCCAGAACATCTTTCAGTATCTGCTTCGGCACGGCATCCGCTGCTTCGATGCATAAGACGGTCATACATCTAGAATTGCTGTGGCAGCTAACGAAGCTCGATGCTGCGGTACACTCATCCTCGTCATCGGCTTCTGCTTCTTGAAGCTGGCTTGAAGAGTCTCCTCCTTGCAGCTGTTCACCAATTGCTCGGTTTGCCGCATTCAGGCTGGCGAAGTCCCTTGGCCTCACGAGAGCCGTGCAAACTTTGGGCACTTCCTGGTGAAGAAGCTCCCTTGCTCGGCACATCGTCGCGTGGTGGTCATTCGCCGATGTTCCGGCCAACGCCAAAATGACTGGCATCGACCTCTGAGGCTTTTCCATCTTCTCAGCACGGAATCCACGGAGTGCTTCCTTCAAGCCCCCAAATGCAGACTTCACGTGCTTCTCCGCAATATCTGAAGCTGTCGCACACCACGAAGCATCTTTGGAGGCCTGGGCCTGCGAAAGCGCCTTCCATGTCAAGGGCTTCTGCGGTGGCTCTGGAGCTTCTCGGCATTTCTGCGGCTTCAACTGGAAGCGATAGGAAGCACGAGGGATGGTCGGGCTGGGCATCGTGCCACGGCACTTAAACCCGCACGCAGAATCTGTGTCACCACTGAGTACGAACTGTCATGATAATATGAAACTTTCGCGGCCATATGGTCTGACTTAACCTTTGTGTTTTGCATGCATTGCAAGCGCACTGACATCTTCAGGAGAGTCCGCAAAAAACTAGATGTGAGAAAAAACAGCTGCGGAGCCCAAGGGCATGCATACATGCGCATGGGAAGATTTGCTGGCAGTCGGGTCTGGTCAAACGGTCGGACCTTACACAACAGGCTTGGGCCGTACAGAGACTTGTCCACCCAAAACTGACATGTTGAGCGGGACCGAGAGGCCGACATTATGCTTTTTCGGAGCAAGGTCACAGCTGATCCAGCTTCAATGTGCTATTCACTGTGATACAAGCAGCTGCTACAGAAGAGCAGTCCTTGCACACAAATCACTCGCACATGTGGCAGGAACAGGCCCGAACTCGCAAAATAGCGAATCGATGACACAAGGCTCATCGGAAGGGAGCTTGAATGAGAGCTTCTTTAGCTCGAACTCTGCTGTGAGACTGCGCGGCCAAGATTTGATCTACAGCTGTTACTGCTGTCGGCCTCGCTAGCACAAGCCATGGTAGACGCAGGAAGCACAAACGATCACTGCCACGAACGCGTTCGAACAAAAAGCGAGAATCCCGACAGGTCTCTAAGTGGCGCGCGCTTCTTTGGTGCCTGAGCATGGCACACATAGCCCTGCCACAATAGCGACCCGAATCGCTCACAGAGCTAAGGCCCGAACAGCGATAAACCAGATCACCCCTGCTTGACAGGAAACTCGTCTTTGAGGCTAGAACCCGGCTAGCAGATATGCGTGGCCTGCGAGGAAGATCACGAACCTTAGGGTTTCGGTCTGCACTCCGAGGACTGGCTGAAGCTGGAGCTTTCATGAGCTTTCTTTGGCGCGCAACCCTGTGATGGTCGTAAATTGGCTGGCGCGGCCCATGGTGGTCTTTCCGCCATCGTCGCGATACCTCAAGAAAAAAAACAAAACGCGCGAGCTGCTGTCCTCTTAACGGTAGTTTACCTGCACCATCCTAAACCCTAAACCCAAAAACCCCTGAACCCTTATAAATCCTGCTTGCATCCTCATGATTCCTCGCGGCATAAGGCCGGCGCATTGCCAGCGCCTCTTCTGGGAAGAAGACCTTGAAAAGAGTCGGCGACTGCGCAAGCGCTTGTCTTATTATATCATGCTACTAAGACTTCAAGTCATATCAAACAATTGTATAGGATACATATAATATGTGTATATATACATATATATACACACACACTTATTTATTGTATTATTTAGAGTATTATGTTGTTATACCTTGTTATGTTGTATTATGTCACACTATAATATCTATATCAAGATAGAATAGTATCATGTGTAGTGTAACATAGCAATCAGACAGAGGGTCAGGCCCCGCCGTGGTCCAGCAGGATGTGTCGGATGAAATCCCACCTAGCAGATCGCAGATAAGCTCTAAACCCTAAACCCTATATAAACCCTATATAAACCCTATATAAACCCTATATAAACCCTAAACCCCAAACCCTTGCAGGAAGGTGTTGAGGCTCCCTGAGCTCGTCGCATCACCAGGCAGCAGCCCAAGAAGGTAAGGATGAAGGGGCCCCATCTGCCACAGGTGACGATGGCAGTGTACAAAAATGGACTGACAATTGCCTCTACTAATATGATTTCAAACTATCTTAGACTATCATATAGTATTCAAAGTGTATGTGTATATATATATATATATATATTATTTTCATTTCATTAGTTACAGTTAGTTATTTGTTCTATGGCAAGCGATGCCTCTGAAAGCACGGGCGCCCGGACTCTGGTCTCTCTGCGGCGATGCGCCAGAGGACCGATACGAAGATCACCTGGGATCTGCTTGCATGATATGCAGCAGCAAACGTGCTTAAAACAGCTTCTAGACGGCATGTATTCGAAGCAGCTGCGGGAAGCTGAGGTGCAAGCGATGTTCGCACCAAAAGAGAAGTGATGAGACGCTTCCCTCTTGCCTGAACACGGCCGCCGGAACATAGTAGTTCTCGCGGTTACAATTCTGCTTACTGAGGTGCAAGCATAACGATGCAGACATATACAATCGCAAGAATAACAGATAAGCTTGAAACACGATCAACTCATGTACATGCCTATATGTATATGTATGTGTAGAAGTATATATATATATACATATTGAATGACGTATGAATTCACAGAAATGAATTCCTCCCGCAGTTCCCCTACCCGCTCCTGTCTGAATGATCGAGTATGTTTTTGGGTGTTGTGTAGAATCAGTATAGTACAATGTATAACAGGACTATAGGGGGAATCATTACTGATGATTCCTAAACCCCTGTGGACACTGCAAAACTAGACCAAGAACCCTTTTCACACGATATATGTAAACGGATAACTAAGGGATGTGATGGCTAAGACCAGAACTCGAAACCCCAAATCCTAAACGCCTACCCCGCTGACCCAATAGTTAAGCTTAGTGCCTTGTGAGGCTACGCTCGAGCCGGCACCGAGCGCGGTGACCAGCAGCAAAGGCCTCAAATACAAGGACTGAAGGGGTGTCGTTGGCGATTTCGGGATTCTGGCTTCGGGGTTTAGGGCTTTACATGATCTCTTTAAAGTTCACAGAGTTGGGAAACTTCGAGGGTGCTGGATGATGCTCCGAATTCTGACCTGTCTCTCTCTCGTCAGTGCCCATGTGTTCTACTTTCCCATGACGCAAACAATGCAAAGTGCCCCAAAACCACTCCAGTCTAGACAAAACTCCGTCTGCCCGTGTTGCGCATAGACGTGGAGCAATCTTCAAATCCGAAGGCACAGACCCCGGACGGCCGGACGGAGGGAAGCGGCATGGTGGAAAGGAAACCAACCTGAATCTCGCGACGGGGAGCGCACGTGCGCCGGATTGCCCCAATTTCAGACCATATTGCTGCCATTGCTGCCCCCGAATACTATGTTGGACATTTGAGTGCGTCCGTGCGTTGCCCATGTCGTCAGGGAGGGGGATCAGGACTGCGGCCATACGGTGTGTAACAATTTCGTCGTTAGCCGTTACAACGCTGCAAGTACGTCTAGTAGACCCGCCTACAGCCAAACCCCGATCTAGGAAGTCTCGAAATCGAAGGCAGCGAGGTTTCAACATTGCAACATTATGGATTTGCAAAATTAGCATCAGCCCCCGCATTCACTGACTCGCTTGGTCCACGAACGCGCTAAAGGCTCGATGTCAAGTTGATGACACTGGCCACGACTCGTTTTAGAAACTTGGACAAGGGCACCCGGTCATCTGGGGCACCCCACTGAGTGAAAACATCCTCGACAAGCCAGTGCCTCATGGTCGCATTAACTGCCCCCGGCGAAAAGAACGCCAACATCGGATGAAGGAAGTTCGACCGGTGTGCATCCTGCGCACGTGTCGCTCCCACCCGTGCGTCGCCCAGCACCTTCTGGCCGTGGAAAGAGTCGCTGTACCGGAAAACCCACGTTAGCCGCGACATGCTCCTGTATAGCGCATGGAAGTGTCGCAAAGGCACCTCCTCCAAGTATCGCAGCTCCAGGTGGGCAGGGTGGATCTCGAAAAGAACCATATCTCCGAGGAACTCGAACATCTGGTAAGGGCCCGAAGCGCTGTTTATTCTTGACAGCAGCATCTCCAGCAGCGGCTCAAGTCCCAAATCCGAGCCATCACCGTCACACCCAGTTGACACGGCACCGCATGTGAGAGTGAGCGGCACCTGCCATGAAATCTGGGGCCAGGGCACGTTGAAGTTCTTCTCCTCCAGGAAGCGAAAGAGAGCGCGTGAGGTGTAGCGAAAGCCGTGGATGAAGCCCCCGGCCGACTTGCGGAAGTCCAGGCTGTGGCTCAAGGTGCCTGCAGCGTACATGCCGGGAACACCCTGAACTTCCCAAGCCGACGAGATCTTGGGATACTTGCGATTATGCGAAAGCTCGACCTTCACAGACTCGTCTAAGATGTCTGTATCAAAGGTCCATCCGAAGCAGCGGATGACGTGGTCCATGGCATATCGTAAGTTGTCATGGCTCCCAACCTGGCGCACCTGAGCCAGTTCGGCTGCTAGCTGCGGATGTGCCCTCAGGACACTGGTGGAGACTTGGAGGTTCCACGTTCCCATCTTGAAGACTTGGGGATCGATGCCCAGCATATTTAGCTTGTCCATGGAAAGAAACTCGTTGTCCTCGGAGAAGAAGTCAACCTCTTCATACTTCCAGCGTGTCTTCTTTTCAATGTCGGGATATTTGTTCAGGATGCCGTTGAGCTGCATGTGCAGAGCGGATTGGTTCTGGACAGTTGCAATTTCTACCATGTAGGAAAGGTTCTGGCCACCCAAATCATGCATCTGCCTGCAGCGGTCGCTGTTGCATTCCTCTTTGCTTACTGCCCACACGCACAACTTGTTCTCACATGGCACGACGGCGAGGCGCGTGGAGGCTGTTTCAAAGGCATCGAAATCGAAGGTATCCAGGCTCTTTAAGAGGTAGGTGTCAAGAATCGTCGTTCTGCCTGCCCGGATGTCGCCGACATAGTGCGTCTGGTATGCGAAGCGGACCCCTTTCCCTCCGTCGGGCAAGGTTCGAGCGCGAGAGAAGAGGTGGACCTCTGAGGTGTAGCGCTGAAGCTCCTGGGCTGTCTCCAGGGCGGCATTCCCTTGTCCAAGGATGATTACAGCTTTACCCTCGAAGGACTCTCCGGAGCTTGGGAGATCCTCATATCCCAGCACATGTGCAGCGCCGTCCACACGAAGCTTTCCCAAGCGTGGCTTGGCCAAACCTGTCGCGATGATCACTTCGGCACAACGCCACTGACGGCTGCCTTCCGGCGTTGCAACTTTGACCTCAAAGACCCCACGCTGTCCACGCCGCACTTGCTGCACACTGCTGTTGTACTCAATACGATCCCTCTGCTCATCTGCAAACTCCTGCAAATATTCAAC